AGAAAGCGCGTTCCCTGTTCAGTGAGACCCTTGGTTTACGCCCGGCTGTGTCTGTGTGTCCGCAGTCAGCAACACGCGGTTCATCGCGGCGGTGATCGAGCGCCACGCGCACAGCCCCGAGCGCCGGCGACGCTACTGGGGCCGATCCGGCACCGAGAGCGACCACGGTAAGGCCTTGGATCACTGCCCTGGCCCCACAGAAATCACTGGGGTGACCTGGGTTCCTTCAGGTGTCTGGCACATTGCAGATAAGGCAGCCAAAACTCAAACCAAACAAAAAACATTCTGCTGTGTTGTTTCACGGTTAAACAGTTCTGACACTTGATCTGTTCAGCCCAGGGAAGAGAAGGTTCTGTGGAGATCTCACAGCACCTCCCAGTATCTGAAGGGGCTACAGGGAAGCTGGAGAGGGAACCTTTATCAGGAACTGTAGTGACAGGACAAGGGGAATGGCTTAGATGGGATATTAGAGAGAAATCGTTTCCTATGAGGGTGGTGAGGCCCTGGCACCGGTTGCCCAGAGAAGCTGTGGCTGCCCCATCCCTGGAAGTGTCCAAGGCCAGGTTGGACAGGGCTTGGAGTAACCTGGGCTAGTGGAAGGTGTCCCTGCCCATGTCAGGGAATTGGAACAAGATGAGCTTTAAGGTCCTTCCAACCCAAATCATTCCATAATTCTAAGATCTTCCAGCACCTTTAAGCAAATACTGATCACCATTAGGTTCAGAGAGTCTGGGTATGTCCCTGCTGCCCTGAGACTAAGTCTCTTTAAATCTGGAAAGCTGTTAGAAGGGTGTAATGCTGTTGACTCATGAGGAGGCTTAACAGAAATTAAGAGGAGGGTTAGACAAGTCTGCACAGCTGTCACCTCTAGCTGGGAGCCATAGTGGCTGGGTATGTGATAGCAGACCTGTTCCAGTATTAAACAGTGGTTGCACTAATGGAATTGCTGAGGGACAGGAAATCCAAAGGCCAAAGCCTTGGAATGTGGATGAACAGATGTCTGTGAGCCAATCTTGCTGTAGGAGGAATTACCCTGGATTTGGGGCCAGATTACCTGTGCTGAGGCAGATTTGCCAGATTAATGCTCCCTTTGCTCCATTTCTTGCAGCCCTAGGAAATCCTTCCCATCTTTTAGTCCTCCTGTCAGGGTCAGCAGGGGAACTGTCCTACCTCCATCTGAAATGTGTGCCGCTATTTTTAGTTCCTGTAATTCCATCTTCTTCAAAGGGCTGCCCAGTCTCCTTCCCCAATTCCTCCCTGCCAGTTAGAAGCCATGACTCAGAGCATGGGAAATGAGAGCCAGCTTTGGGTGCTCAGCCTGCTATTTTTAACACTCTTCTTTTAGGTGTCTCCAGCTGAAAACCTGACCAAGATGCTCAGAAGCACCAGTGGTTCCTCAGTTTTTGAGAAGGATTATTTTTCTGTTTAAAGCAAGATATATTTCCGTTTAAATTGCACTTGTGTTTCTCCATTTAGAGATACTGAGGTGGATTTGTTTGTACTGCAGGCTGGAAATAGCTGGTTTCAGTGATTAAATCCAAATCTCCCAGTAACTTGAAGCACCTGTTTCAATGGAAAGGGACCTGTTAGGAAACAGTTTCCTGGCTGAGCCTGCAAGGGTTAGCTGTTAGCTGCCTTTCCAATGACATCATTTCCTTAGGATATCCCAGGGAATGGATGTCTCACCACTCCGGATCTGTTTCTTTTAACTTTTTAGACTCCAGTAGCAGATATTTTAGCCAAAAGAGAGCCCTGAGTTAATTGCACCACGTGCATGAGTTCAGTGGGAAGTGTCAGTACAGTTTGGCTTAATGGACCTGCTGTTTGAAACCCTCCCAGGAGGATTCCATAGATTTCCTTAAGTATGGAAAGCTCCCCAGCATTAAACACACGTGCTTGGATTTTGCCAACAGACCCTCACAGGTGAAAGGTGCTCTCATCCTTTTAAAAATTAAATACTAAGATTATAAAACACAATGATGTGAAGAGATTCTGCTGCTTCCAGATACAGTAACTGGCAATCCAGGAAAGGTGTAGATGGTAGGAACAGAGGTATGTGGGAGTGGATCCCACTTATTTCTTGTCTGTTTAAAAATCCAGGTAATATCTAACAGATTTTTTTGGGGTGGTATCTTATGTTTTGGTTTTGAAATCGGTGCCAACAATTCTGCTGTAACAAATTGCTGAACACATGGTTCTTGTTACTGTTTGGGGTGGTACAGACCCAAAGTTTATAACCAAAGATGGTGGCAGGGAAAGGGACCCATTATAGACTTACAGGAGGGGAAGGTTTTGTTTTTGTTTTTCTGTTTATTAAGGAAAGTAGTTTTATTCTCTCTGTAAAGCACTCTGTGTCTGGTTCCATGAAGGGTGCAGCAGTCAGACCTTTTAGTCTCGCTTTTAACCCTCCGTGCTGCCGATTCATTTCCTTAGGCTACAGCACGATGAGCCCTCAGGAGGACAGCGAGAACCCTCCGTGCAACAACGACCCGCTGTCGGCCGGCGTTGACGTCGGGAACCACGACGAAGACCTGGACCTGGACACCCCCCCCCAGACAGCCGCCCTGCTGAGCCACAAGTTCCACCACTACCGGTTGCACCACCCAACCCTCCACCACAGCCACCACCTGCAGGCTGCGGTCACGGTACACACTGTGGATGCCGAGTGCTGATGGCCGACGGCGCGAGGGACGGGACTGCTGAGCAGCTCAGGGGCTGTGCTGCTCCCCTGGGACAACTTCACTGACTTCCCCAGTAAACTTAGGCATCAAAGCTTTACATTTTTATAAATGTAAGGTTGGCTCTGAACTGGAGACGTGCTTGATGAATGGACCTGCCAAAACATTGAATGGAATGGAGCAGGAGGCACGTTAGACCTCCAGGAGCGGGGCCGTGAGTTTATACAGCAGCTGGAGCTTTGTGCTGAGCCAAGAGGAGAGAGAGAGAGCGCTTAAAAGAGCCAGAGATGATTTGGTTTCCTTAACTGGAAGAGCAGAAATCTGTGCAGCTGAAGGCTACAGAAGTGCCAGACAGAGCAGGGGGGAGGGCTGTTGGTTTCTCTGCGTGTGGAAAGTTCCCTGCTCCGACATTGCTGTATGGAACCTGGGACAATGCATCTCAAGATTTTTAAGTAAAGGATTATTTTTCTACTATTTATTGAACTTCAAACTTTGGGGGGAGGGAGGGAGAAAATGTGTTAGCAATTCTCAACAAGCACCACATGCATCCTGTGATGGTGAAGTGGTTCTTCTAAAGGAGACACATCTGTTCCTTATTAGCTGATGTTCATCCAGTGCCCCACTCTGCAATGGGAAAATGAAGAAGTCCTTTCTGACTCGGTGTTTACATTAGGAATGCTTTCTTTTCCACAATGGTTTTCTGTAAATATTCCAACCTGATTCTTATTACAGTATTGTCTTCCGATTTGCAGAGGAGAAATCCTGTACTCCATAACTAAAATTCTGAAAGTTCTGCCCATAAATCTCTCCAGCTTTACCTCTTTGATCATCCTTAAAGGATTCCTGTGTGGAAGTAATAAAGAATTTATTTAGCATTAGTTGCCAGATAATCCCAGATGGAATCTGTGCCATTCTCCTGTTTCTTTAGGACACTGTTGAGACCAGAAGTAGGGATAAACCAGTGTTTTGTAAAACTTGGGTTACTGTGGAAGAAATCTTGAAATCATCATGAGAAGCTGCTGCTGTTTGTCTGGAATTTTAACATTGCTTGGTAATTCAAACAAAGATTAATCAATGTCTACAACACAGGGCATCGTAATTATGAATTAGTTTGAAATCAGTGTTGTATTTTAGATTCACATTTTGTGATTATGAGGATATAAAAACACTCTTGCACTGTGCATATGATAAACATCCATTTATATGTAGGTTTTTTTTAAAAATCACTTGTTTTAATTAATATGGTACTTAATACTGTATTATGTAAAAATTGGTTCTTAAACAGTACAGTAAAATAACTATATGTGTGATACCAGGATACCCCTTTATACTATGTATAAAATTAAAATCTCTAGTGAAATAAACTGTATATAAAGTATAGATCTGTGAATAGTGGCTACATGGAAATGATTCCGTCTCAGTTTCCTTTTCTGGCTGAAAAAGTGCTGTAACAGGACTGAAAATTCACTCAGGTTCCTCTACCAACAGCCTTGAGAGATCTAAACTTTACATATAAATGACAATATCGATGTAAGTTTTAAAGCCTTTTTTTTTTAGCTTGTTGGTCATTATTTAGGAAGCGAACATTTCTGGAAGTGGTCAGCCACTGCACAGACTCACCAAAGCCAAGAATTTCAGGGTTTTCTTTTCTTATCTGCTCCTGAAAGCTCCGTGGCTCTGGATTTGCCATTCTGTGTTTGTATAGGATTAGGTGGAGGCTTTTTGCTGACCAGGCAGCTGCAGAATCTATTGAGCTCTGCTTTGTGCTCTCAGAGCTCTGCATCTGATGCCCTGTGTGTCAATCTCTAGACCCAGCTTGCTAGAATTTCTAATTTTATGTCCAAAATCAGCCTGGATGGTGGATAGTGAACAAAGTGGCTGTTTTGTCAGGTTTGCCTTCAGAAGAAAATGCATGATTTTAATCTTGCTGCTAGACAAAGAACAACAAACACAGCCAGGATGCAGAATGTTTAAGCATGAAGGGAAAATTGCTTTCAGCATAGAAACTGTTCACCTCTGAGTTTTAATAAGAGTTTGAGTGAAACATCAAACAAGATGTTTTGTGGATTCTTTTTGTCCTATAGAACTCATAAAGTTGTTCTCTCTAAAATTCAGGCATAAATCAGGGAAGTTCTAGCAAGGACATTATTTGTTCAGCTCTGTGAACCACAGGAGGTGGAATTCAGCCCAAAGCTGTTCCCACACCACAGAAGTGTCTGTGGCAGGTGAAGCCAAATTTAAGTTATATTTTGCCCATCTACAGACAGACGAATGAGTTTCACTCTGCAGATGAAGTTCTTCAACTTAAGTATTTGCTCCCCAGTTGCAATTTATGTCATGCATAGAAAATACAAACTGAGAGAAAGAAGAACACACCTTTGGCTTGGTCTGTTCCAGTGCTGATGTTGATTCCAACCAGGTAAGTCTGTGGAGCACATTCATAGTGAGAAGCAGGTCGTTAAGTCCAGCTCTAATTAAACTGCACTGTTAAATGTATATGTACAACCTGTGTTTGTTCATCCACACTGGCATATTATATCTCTGCTATGTTTTCTAGTGGGACAAGTAATTTTTGACCAAAATGTATCAGAAATATTATCAGTAAGGATGGACTTGGTGATCCTTGTGGGTCCCTTCCAACTCAGAATATTCTGTGACTCTGTACATTGGAAAATGGCATAATATTAATTACTTTAGCTACAATACTGTATCAGTGAAGATATTTTTTGGTGGTTCTTCACATTCCATGCTAGCAGAAGGTGCTTGCAGGGTTCTGTTGCACCTCTGCCAGAAATGCAGCAGGTTGCAGAACCTCTTGGAAGTCACAGCAATAAATCCCCCCTTTTCCCTTAAAAGCTTTTCTGGAGCTGCTCCTCGCTGCTCTTTGGTCACATTTCCTCTAGGACATACAAACTTGATCTGAGGGGTCTGACAACTCTGCTTAAACTTGAAGGTCATGAGAAGAGCCAAAGCTCTTGCTGTTAAAGAGTAATTACAGGGAAAACTGATTTAGAGGTGTGCCAAATCCCATCTCCAAATGCTGACAGCTGACCTTGTCCCAGCAGGAATGCTGGGAAAGATATGATTGTTCATTTAAACCAAAACCTGATAATGGGTGTAATTAGCGTTATAAGAAGCTGCATGATAGCTCTTCATTTTTATTGCCTGTGTTGCTGCCATGGCCTTCCCTCCCCATCATTATTTTACTGTGTTGACTGAGGAGCAAGATCATAAAACAAGCAGTTAAACCCTGAATCCTCCTTCCCTATAACTGTTCAGATTTTATAACCATTAATTTTCCACTTATTTCATTTTTGCAGCATAGATGTATTAATTTCCTGTAGGTTTTCTCTTATTCCTGTTGAAAAAAAAGGTTCTTTTGAAATGAAAACAAGAATTGCCTTTGATTCGTGATCATTAATGTTAAATTGACTCGATGCTTTCAGTATTTGAGCACTGAAAGTGTATTGATTTTTCCCATATCCAAGTAACCTGCTGCCTGCCCATGGAGAAGCTGTTTATATGGGCAGAATACATTGCTTGGAAATGGATTGAGAGGATTTGATCATTTGAGATGATTTTTTATTTGTTTATGCCCTTGCCTGGATGAAAAGTGTGATTTGGAAAGATGAGTCTGTTACAAATTGCCCATGAACATTTTATAAGGCCACTTAAGCCATGAAATATTATCTTTACCCTTGCCCTTGGCAAGGAGAGAGAAGATGGATAAGAATTCAGGAGAGGTTCACATGCAGCAAGAGTTGTGACTATAACTGGTCAAAAGGAGACCTCGGGCTTTCAAAGGCTTTATTCTGTAAAGTGACCCAGAAATGGGGATGAGGAGAGAAAGTGCATTTGTCGGAGGACAAATTATGAGAGTAAACTGGCAGCAAATATGGAAAAGGGAGAAAAAAATAGGATGCAAAAGTCCTGGATCAAGTTAAGAGAGTGCAGGTAATCCAAAAGGCTGTTTGCAAGTGCAAAGATTAATTTGCAGTGTTCATAGCTCTTGGCTACCCATTTAATTTGTTTTTAAAAGAGAATTCCAGCTATGGCTGGGATTTTCAAAGGAGCCTGCACTGGGCTGTCAGTGATGTTTGGAATATTAATTCCCACAGCAGTTAACTCGGTAACTGTTGCGTTGTTTTGCTGCACAAACCCCCCCTTTGCCAGGCACCCAAACTGTGAGAAGGGAACATAAGTGCCATGGAATATTTCATATTCCTTATTTGCAGCCCTCTGGCGCGATGAGAGGTAATTATTTTCTCTGCTTTGTGCTTGAACTGAGTCACGGAAGGACCTTGGCCCAGAAGGGCTGGTGTTCCTGAAGCCAAGGCTGCAGTGGAATTTCGACACTCAAGTCCAAGAGTGAAGTCCTCCAAGCCCTGCCTCGTTAGTGAGGTGCCAAACACAACTGCTGTGGGTGCCAGAGCCTGCGCAGAACCGGCTCCACCTCGGGAGAAGAGCCCCATGGAACAGTGGATACCACTTTGGATACCACTTTGACTTGAGCAGAACAGAAGCAGGAATTTGATGGCAGAAGTGGAACGTCTTAGATCTGGAAGTTTCCGCCTTCAGCTCAGAGTGGCCTCATCTAAATGCTGGGGGAAAATTCACTGTTATCCCTGGGCTGGTTTCCTTGGTGGCAGCAGTGGATGGGATCGCTCTGGGAACTGGGAGCCATCAGGAACAATCCTGCTTGGCTCTGGTTTATTGTCAATTTTTATAGCTGACACTGGCAATTGCACCAGGTTCCTGGAGCAAGTGCTCTCCGCTGTGATTGTCTCTGATGGAACAACAGGATTGATAGCAGGGAAGAGAAACTGCTGACCAAAAAGCCAGGGCAGGAACCTTATACCTCACCCCTCACCTGGCAGGAGTGCAACAGCTGCTCCACGTACAAAGGGAACCTTGGCCTCCAAAAATGTTGAGTCAGCAGTTTTCACCAGCAGTTTGCATGAAAAAAGGTATAGAATCACAGGAGATGCTGAGTTGGAGGGGACCCACAAGGATCATCGAGTCCAGTTCTCAGCCCTGCACAGGACCATCCCCAAGAGTCACACCAGCTGCCCCAGTGTATCATCCAAACACTCCTGGAGCTCTGGCAGCCTTGGTGCTGTGACCACTGCCCTGGGGAGCCTGTTCAGTGCCCAACCACCCTCTGGGGGAAGAACCTTTTTCTAAGATGCAACCTAAACCTGCCCTGACACAACTTCAGGCCATTCCCTGGGGTCCTGTCCCTGGTCCCCACAGAGAACACAGAAAGGGGTTTGCCACATCCTTATAAAGCTGATGGTCTGTCTCTCCTCTAAACCCAGGCACTGTTGCACCACTTGAACAACAGGCTCAGACTGCCAAGTATTTCCAGTTTGGCCAACACTGATGGATTTTGCTAATTTTAAAACTCTTCCACTGCACTCAGAGGTGCAGACACCCCAAGATGAGCTGACACCGAGAACAGGAAACTGGGAATGCAGTCAAATAGTTTTAATACACTTATTTTCACTTTTCCAGCATTCTGACACTTTGATTCCTTTGCTCCCAATATCAATTCTCTTGGCATAATGTATGCAAATCACATGCAACTGGGTGAGATTAAGGGTTGAGTAATTAAACAGCATTATCTAATTGCTGCAAATAATAATAACCTCGTTAAGTGTGTTTATTTCCATTGCAGCAGAATCAAGGAAATCTCCAAAAACAAGGCAAAATGGGTTGCTGCCGTAACCTCAGCCAGGGAACCTGGAAAACAGGAAGGGGATGGATTTATTTTGCTCCCATGAACATGGAGAAGTCAGACACTTCAGTGAGTGTGTTTATGGCAAAAAGGCATATTGGATGACAGTCTCTATGGAAACCTTTTTATAACTGAAGGGCAGAACATTTGAAAATCTCATATATTTTTTGGGAAGGTTTCACTTGCATTCCCTCCTTTAGGCCAGTTTTCCATATTTAACAAGTTTTTCCGTATTTAATAAGTTACAGCATTTTTAAGGACAAAATATTGTGGGGGTGTTTGAAATTCCAACCTCTGCTGGCAGGGATAAGTCATGTACTGGTTTATCTTATCCAAACTAATTGCTGCTCACTCCCAGGACATCCCAGCTACTCAGTTTTCACAGCAAATTTTCTCCAAGTTTATAATTAGCCAGATCCAAGGAGTTGTAAATGAGATAGTAATTGAGATGTATTTATTTACCCTAAGGAATGCTTTAACCCATTATTATAATTTCCCTATATTTTAATGTGAAATGATTTTACAACTCCCTGTGAACTATCACTATCAGTTTCCATTTCCTAGAAAACTGGCCCTTTTAGGGAATCTGAGACAGAATGGTTTGAAACTACCCTTTGCAGCACATTATTGGGCTGGCCAATAAAAATACTTTGGGTAGAAATGTGGGGCTGTACTTGCTTTTGCCAGAAATCCAAGAAACATTTGAATTTTTTTGAAATAGCAAAATTGCTATTGTGCCAATAAGTTATGACTAAATTTGAAGTTGAATGAAGAAAAATAAAGCCTATGAGGGAAGAATGGTGATTTAAAGCAGGGAGGGCATTGATTTAGGAGAAAGAACCCAGAGGTTCCCTTAGGCCATTCATTGAAGAGAACTGTACTTAAAATATTTGTTTGATCTTCTTTTCCTTTGTTCTCAGTTGTTATTCAAGAATTTGGCTTCAATTTGGGGTGGTTTGTTTTAATATTTACTCTCATTTTGCTGCCTTTAAATACAACCACAGAGATTTGCTAATGATGCCTTAGGCAACAAAGGTCATAAATTGTACTGCAAAGACCACGAGTCCCAAAATAGCCCATTACAGTATGGCCCAGTGTAATGATTTCCTTGGAATAGTTACTCACTTTGCAAGTTATAGTTCTTACCTCCTCCATCTCTTTATTATTTACTCACAGACCACTGAGTTACAGGATGGAACCTGAGAAGAAGTTCCCAACCAGGCTGTTCCTGAGATAATCCATCATTCCTAACACTTAGGAGCAGTGTTATGGCGAATTAAAAGCCGTCAGGTTCCACTTTAAAAGAAAATGTTTGGCTCTGGGCACAGTCACTTGAAGTGTTTTTGTGCCTGTATGGAGGAAAACCGCAGGAGTAAAGAAGCATCCCATGTTTGGGCATGTTACTGCACTATGGAATGGTGCACTGAGATGTCAAATGTATTGAAATTTGTTGGGAAAATGGGCAAAGGAACTTGTTTTGGCACCTCTGGTGTATGCATTTGTGAGATGATTGAGCATCTGGAGGATCATCACCCAACTAATTACTGGTGTTGACAACTGAATCTACATCTGTTGGGTTCAAAATTTCAGTGTCTTTATGAAACAAAAGGAGCAGCTGGAGCAGGAAACAGTGGGCACAGTATAAAGAGAATGGGATTGTTTATGTTTTGCTGACATGAAGTGGTGCTGGTAATCCATGATTTTTATGGAATATACAGCAACTGATGGATTCCACACCCTCACTGCAGGAAACACCAATCCATGTGGTTTCAGATTATATAAAATTGTTTAATTTCTCTTTCATATAAGCAATCACTTACCTAAAGAGCCCACAGATACATTCCCTGTATCTCAAATACATGGGAACATCAGGCTGGGTCTTAGATCCAGCAGATGTTCTCAATTTTTGGCTTTTATTTTATCTGTACAGATCTGAACCTGTTTGTACTTTTGAAGACAGAATCATAGAATCCCAGACTGGTTTGAGTTGGGAGAGTCCTTAAAGCTCATCTCGTTCCACCCCCTGCCACGGGCAGGAACATCTTCCACTAGACCAACCTGGACAATGATGCCTGACTGCACCTTTAATTCCAAAAGAACACTTGTGACACAATTCTAACATACTCATTCCATAAAAATTTTTATATATATATATATACGGCCTTTATGACTTCAAGGCTGCAGAAGCAGGAGGAAATTAATCTTCAGCTTAGAAGAGCTGCAAGAGCAACTGCTGTGGTTAATTAACAAGGAATTTAGTGAATTGAATTAAATTAAATTAAATTACTACAAAGTGGCTTATCTGTGTAACAGCATCAGGTCAGTAGCACAACTAAAGTTACATTTGCTGTTCTGCTGGAGTGTTCTGCTATTTTTTCAATAGTGCTTTTTTGCTTTTGCTCTCTCCAGGTACAGCTCTTTTTTTTGGAGACCTGCATTTCATCCTGAGTCCCACCATCTCAGCATCTTCCTGAAGGTGTTTCCCACTCCTGCAGGTGTAGCAGCACATGGGTGTGTGTGAGAGGTTCCCTAACCTGTGTCAGTTCTCACAGCATGGGTTAGCAAGGACTCTTTAACCTTACCAATTTAATTGTGTATAAAGTATTTAACTGTGTATAAAGTATTTTACTTTATGGTTTCCTAATTTTGATTGTTCTTATATTTAAAATTATAGTTTAATCCTTCAGGTAGCTACTTGAGGGTAGTGCAGGTCAAAACAGGGCTGATATTTGGGTTCAAGAGGGAATATTTCCTCAGGCCAGTTGGGTATTGGTGCCTGATTTTGGGTGCCATGAGGTGGTGGTGGCTCACCTCCTTCTCCATCTTCATGAGTTACCTCCATGAGTTACTTTCCTGCTCCAGCTGCTCCATGGACAGTGGGAATATCCTGGATATTTCCTTCTCTCTTCACACAGCACTTTGTAGCTGCCTTTTAGTGCAGGCAATTCCTTTATTGACTTGTGGAATGTCAACCACCTGTAAACAGAACAGAACGTGAACATTAGGAGGAGAAACAAATTAATACTTTGACCTACCAAATACAATCTTTTTAAGTATATATCTCTAAGCAAAAAAAAAATTACATTTCTTTGAGTATATTCTTATTTTCTATAGTTTCTCTGGAACTCTTTACAAATCATATTGCACGAGTTTTAGTTTTGCCATTAATATCAAACTATTCATTTCTGAACTATTTTTTTTAGCAACACACTTTATCTTTGCTGGCTTTCATTTAGGACCTGCAGCCCATAAAAAAAGACCAAAAAAGGCAGTTTTTGAGAGGGTAATTGCTGTGGGTAGGATTAATGATCAGTGGTGTACAGGTGAAGCAGTGTCCACCTTCAAACTGGAAAAATTAATGGTGAAATTAATTATTCTGCTTTAATTCCTTCCTTAGCTTCTCTAAATTTGATGATGTTTGAGTAGATTCGTGATTTGCACTGGAATAGCTTAGTCTGATTACTATTTTTGAGGAGATAGTTACATGCTTCAGTATTTCTAGGAGAGTATTCCTTTTTTGTGATCCCAGAATAATTTACATGACGTAATTGATGATAAGCTTCAGACAGGTTTTGAGGAGACAGTTTATAGCATCTCTACTTCAATTTCATCGCTTGACCTGAAAATCAGTTCGTAAAGTTACTAGCAGGTATGTCATAGTTTTAAAATGCATATCTTCACCTGAAATTTTTAAAAATAGCAGGTATATACATATTTTTCAGTCACATTTCTCAAAGAATGGTGACCTATAAAAATCTTGGTTTTCTAAAAATACAAAATTATCTTTATATCAGATCTCACACTAATAATTTGTGATTATAACTTTTTCTGGTTTTGGTTTAATTTTGAAGGTGAAGCTGATATTGTTCAGGACAGGCTGAATGTAGCAGTTTTCAAATTCTCCTGTGACAAACACATGAACTCTTTACAAATGTCCTGCACACCTCTGATTTCCAAAAATTCATTCAAAAGAATGCAAATATTGAAGGAGGAGGGACATAACCTGTTAAAAAAATCACGGAAAAGGAATCCCTTGATTAGAAGCTTGTCAGCTGACAATTTTTTTAATAATACACCAAAAAGTACCTCGATTATTGTTTGCTCAGTAGTTTTAAATTAATTTTAGAACTAATGAAGGTCCAACATACTTCGTAGTCTTAACTTGCTTTGTTTTGGGCTAAAGCAATTTCTAAACCCACTTATTTGGTGGAGTTTTTTAATCTGCAACTGATAATTATGTCTTTGAAATGGCACTTTAAACCTAATCAAGAATTATCCTTCGGAATTAGATTTTTGTGATAAGAACTCAGTCACACGCACTCAATTTAACTCCGCATTTTTTTCCAATTTCCTTTATCAGACTTATTATTTTTCAGGTCTGGATTCTCTTTTGCCTGTTCTTTGTGGTCGGCCTCATGTCTAAAAATGGATACAAGTATTTAAATTATTTTTTATTCCTTTATAGCAATGATGACAATGTTAAGAGCTAAATTTACTGTATTGTAAATGACAAACGAGTAACTGTGCTAAAGGAGAAATGGATTTTCCAACAGAACAACCTATTTTATTTTTTAAAGGGAGTGCTGACTAATGTACTGAAATGTTTCTACAGACGTAGATGGGAAAACTTATTTTATAGTGATTCCCAGAAATATTGCCCTTCTCTTGGGACATTGGGCTCCTTTTCATCACAGGTCACAGCCCTGTGCCTGCCCAGCCACCAGGACGTCGGGCTGTGCCACACGAGGGGGACTTGGGCCACCAGGTGTTGGTTTACTCATTTTGATGGATTTTAATTAGTTTGGTACGTTTCTGATGAAGAATAAAATTAGGACAAGATCATCTTGGGCCATTGTGCCTCCTGACCTCTGATGGAACACTTGGGTTCGTTTGGGATTAGAAGTTGGACTAGATCTCAGAGGTCTTCTCCAGCCTAACTGATTTTGTAGGATCTGCTCAATTTTGTTGTAAATCCATATTTCAGTCCTTCAGGTGGATCAGTACCTAAGGAAGGTGTCAGTGATGGGGATTTGGGGAATGATTCCTGCTGGGTGAGGTGACCCAGATCGAGCCTCAGTGAAGGAGAGGGACAGTGCCCTGGTCTTGGCCTCCATCAGGATGGATCTTAGGGCAATTCCTTTCATAACAGAGCCCCAAAATTCCTCCAGAGCACTCGAGTTGTTCCCTAAAATCCATCTGAAGATGTGTTACTGTGGGGGTGGAATGAAGAGAAGGTCCTGGTGGACAACCAGCTGCCCCTGAGCCAGCAGTGTGTCCTGGGGGCCAAGGAGGGCAACAGAATCCTGGAGTGCATTAGGAAGCAGGTCAGGGAGGTGATCCTGCCCTCTGCTCAGTGCTGTGAGGCACATCTGGAGTGCTGTGTCCAGTTCTGGGCTACTCAGGGCAGTGGGGATGTGGAGCTCCTGGAGCAGATCCAGTGGAGGCTACAGAGATGAAGGGACTGGAGCATGTCTGTGACGAGGAAAGGCTGAGGGAGCTGGGGCTGCTCAGCCTCGAGAGCAGCCACTGAGAGGGGACCTCATTAATGTGTATAAATATCTAAAGGGAGGTATCAGAAGATGGACCAGGCTCTGCTCCTGTTGCGGTGCCCAGCAACAGGACGAGGGGCAGGAACTGATGCCCAGGAAGTTCCACCTGGACATGAGGAAGAACTTCTTTGCTGTGCAGTGACTGAGCACTGAACAAACAGTCCAGAGAGGGTGTGGAGTCTCCCTTAGTGGAGATATTCCAGAACCCTCTGGACACAGTCCTGTGCCATGTGCTCTGGGATGACCCTGCTGGAGCAGGGAGGTGGGACCAGACGAGTCACTGTGGTCACTTTCAACCTGACGCATCCTGTGCTTCTGTGAAATTCCCGTTTATCCGCATACACCCCCGGGAGCTCCGTTACAGACAGCGCCAAGCTCGCCTGGAGCCTCCCCCCGCTGCCCCGCGTCCCTCCCTCCTCAGGGGGCCCCGCGGCCCCGGCGGGGGTCGGGCCGGCCCTGCCGGGGTGGGCGGCGGGGGCTTCCTCAGGCTCCCCGGGCGGGGCAGGGCGAGGGCGGCTCCGGCCCCGCGCTCCCCCCGCTCGCTGCAAGATGGCGGCGGGAGCCGAGCGCGGCGCGGGGTTGCCCGCGGAGCCGCCGCCGCTGTGCCCCGAGGAGGTGGCGAGGCGGCTGGAGAGCACCCGCCGCGAGCTCAGCAACCGCCGCAAGATCCTGCTGAGGAACCTGCCGGCCGAGAGCAGCAGCCAGGTACGGCCGGGCTCCCCGCAGCCGGACCGCGGCGCGGGGGAGGGAGCCGCGGGGCTGCCGCTGCTCCCCGCGGGGCTCGTGGGCTGCGGGTCGCGCCAGCGCTTCCCGGCGCCGGCTGTGCCGGGGCTTTGTTACCGCCCGTGCCTGCGGGGAGCGGCTCCGGCTCGGGATCCGCCGCCAAAACCGGAGGGCGACGCCGGGCTGGCCGGGCGCGACCCGCCGGGGAGAGCCGGATCCGCGCCCCGGGGCGTAAGGGAGCGACCCCGCGGGGTTCGGTGTGCGGCGAGCCGGGTGACGGAGCACCTGCCGCCGCCAGGTAGGGCACTGCAGCACGGCCGCTCGCTGTGCGAAGGCGATGCTGAAAACCTTCAAGTCTGGCTTTTTTTTTTTCTTTCTTTTTTCTTTTTTTTTCTTCCATTGTGGGGTGAGCCATGTGTAGTCAGGGAAAGCGGTTTTCCGCAGTCTGATGGTGGTTTAGGAAAATTCCGCTCGAATTACTGCTGTCCGTAGGAGAAGATCGCTGAACTCTTCAACCGAGTGCTGTGAGTCAGATGTTGAGGTGATTTAGCTGCACAGTCACTTTACCAGTTCCAAATACACAACTTGATGCACAAGTATATGAAAAAAAAAGTAAGTGCAGCTTTTGTTCTGTCTGCTCCTCGTGTGTCTCCCTGCTCTCTAAAGCACAGGTGGTTTTCCTACCTGCGGGTAAGAGCAGCATGTGCAGACTATCGGTTTCTCCATAATTCCGGGAGAAAGGGACTATTCGTCTGGGAGAGAATCTTTCAGCAGTCGGTGTAATCCAACCCACAGTACCCAGCTTGCACTTAATGATGTTTAGTTCTCTGGCTGTGCTGTAGTGTGGTGGTAGGCGTTGAGAGCTTTAGGTTATGACAGTTTTGTTAGGATGTTTTAGGCACCTCTATTTATAGCAACCTAATGACCTGATCAATAGCAAACTCACAACGTGGAGAACCCTGATAATCTTCATCGTCTCTGCAAGAAGCCATTGCGTGTCATGGTGTTGACAGAGAGGACTTACTGATGTGTCACCAGATGCTTGCTGTGGATATTCAGGGCAGGATCACTCTGTGACACTCCAGAAATTCTGTTACTTGCTCCCGTTGCACACAGAAGGTACTTCATGGGTTGGTTAAAGGCACATCTCACCTGTATGAAAGTTGCTGAGTTTGGCATTGCTTGGTCAGACAAAAAAAACCCAACATTAAGATCAAATTTGCCAGCCACATGGTTTTCTGGAAGTTTCCCATTTTGTTTTGGTGACTTAAAAGCAGCACTTAGATGTCTTTTTCTACAAATGTAGGGTTCTAATGTTGCCTTGTAGAACAGTACCACCATGTAGAGATCCTGAAAAAGAGTTTAAAAGATGTCATTCTAATTTTTAACATTGTTGAGCGACTGGCGTTGGCACATAAAGGCAGAAGAGTTGTGCTGTAGCGAGAAAGTTTCTGTCCTGGAGCAGTTTTGGGAATGAGAGGTATGTTTGTGGTCAGGCATGTTAAGTCTACCTGTGTATTTGGCTGTCATGCATTTCCAAAAATTACCATGAAATTTAACACTTGTTGCAAATTAACACCCTTGGTAAACACTGTTTTGTCTTCTGTTTTCTTCTGGAAATGATTGGTGAGCCAAGTGAAATCAGTGAAACTATTTCTGACCTGGCCAGTTTATTCACCGTCAGGAGGGAGATGAACATGGTTGAAATGCAGCCAAGTCTCCCAGAATAGGTTTTCATAAATGTAGCTATTCATCTCTAATCCTTGGGGTGTTGGCTTTGCTGCCATTCGCTGTTGTTATGTGAAAAGTAAGGCCAAGATTTACCATAATAGTTTTCAAGTGAGAAATTACTGTTCTGCTCATAGAGATTGGTGTAGATACTCAGTTTTGTAAGAAAAACCCCATGCTTTTTACATATAAAATTATATAACAAATAAACTCCTCTGCCAGTTGTAGCTACATATTAACTTTATTTATTACTGTACTTGCAATCTTCAATTACCTTTGGAGTTCCGCCCGTGTTAAACTGAATTAAAAAAAGTCTTAAGGCCATGGAAGAAATGTACCTTAGCAGTGAAGTTTCTGACCCAGAAACAGGGTTCCACAGGTTTGTAATCTTAGAAACCAAAGAGGGAGATCTCGAAGTGTCAGAAGTGTTCAGTGCTTTAGGTGCAGGTGACTTGTTGAGGGACAGAGGTTACCCATGTTTGAGTCTTGGCAAGTGGGATTTCTCCCTAAATGCATTTGGCAACATGTATGTTCCTAAGAAAATCCTGAGGAAGGACAGCCTGAAGAAAGCACTTTGCAGTCTGTCGCACTACTAAGTCAGTCAATGTTCCCTTAGGAGCTATTTTCCCTCAGGAGCTATGAGTGTCAGTATGGAACAAATCCAAAGGGAGAACAAATTAAGTCTAACTATGTCAAGAGCATTCTTCATTGGGCTTTATAGCTCAACCTGCAAATATGAGTTGCAGGATTAGTGTTTGTTGAGGCATTTCTCTCACTACAACTCCGGAAAGGTTCTTTTGTGACAGATCTGTGGTAGACATTGTTACATCTTCATTGTTATTGAAGGCAAAGTCTCCATTTGCTGTTTAGTTGGCAAGTCAATCGATTTTGTACTGAGCTATTATAGTGAAGTCTTCAGAGTTGCCAGTTATTTCCCCAGACTCACCCTCATGAGATTCTCCAGCACAGTACCTGAACTGTGTGGTGTGATAATGATCTGGGAATGCTCATAGGCTGGTGCTGACCTCCCTAAATCTCGAGATGAAGCCCTGTTGGTGTCTGTAGCAGTGACGACTGTCTTAAAACCAGAGTTCAGTACTGAGTGTGGAGTAGGCTGTGTGGAGGGTCACAACAGGCTTTCCTGTTTCTCCATGGAGCTTCAAGAACGTTGCTCTGCATTCCAGCCTTCATGCTCTGGAGCAATGATCCTCTCTCCTCCCACAGCCTTTGCACAACACGCTCCTCCAATTTGCAGCTCTTCTGGTGAGGGTGGGGAAGTGTCTTGTGCTCTCACCAGTCATTGTTTTATGGCTTCATTAGGGCAGGGCAGTGATATGTGATGTTTTACAGTTAGACAGACGTTGTCCTGTTGGTGTTAGTCTTTTTGAAAATATCAGAGAGTGGGTCTGTTCTTGTTAACATTAATATCCTCTGATGTGGTGTTGTGGTAAGGCTGATGTTTGTATCAGGAATCTTTGCCAAGAGACTTAAAAGTAAACATGGTTGTAGTAGTTCCTTTTATTCTGATCAGCGCTTGGCAATGAATCAGCAAGCTCTTGGTTGGGAGTCTCTTGGATTCCCTTGTTGTGTGAGCATCTCCCTGAGCCATCATCTCTGATCAATCATCTAATCCATTCCAGTAGCGAAGCAGTCACATATGATGTTGAAAGTGCAGAAATTGCAAACAGAAGGTCCTTGGAACTATCACAAAACTGGTCTGAGTGCTCTGGAGGCAGAAGGACTGCTCTGGGCAGAGGGAGGGAAGGAAATAATACCTTCTTCTCTCCTTCACTGGTATAGAGATGCCAAGAACCTCAGGATGACCAGAGTCAGTGAAGTTGTACCTCACTAAACTGGAAGTTTCATTTTGCTGGAGTTTGTATGGCTGCAGTGGTTTTACCAGCTCGTTCACTCCCCCACTGCCCTGATGGGGAGGAGAATGGGGCCAAAGCAAAGCTCATGAGTTAAGAACAGTTCAGCTATTGAAGTAAAATAAAACATAATATATATAAAATTAATCTAAGACTAATAATCAACTTCTATTTCTTTTGTTTTGTTTGTTTTTTGGTTTTTTTTTTTTTTTTTTTGTAATTACCCCAGTGCGTTAGAAGAATTGTTTTTGGTTTTCCCCAAGTAATTTTTTTTCAGTGTTAGTGGTTCCTTATTTGTGGCTGATGAACTTCATAGGAGCAGTGGCTCATCCCTGCGGTGCAATCAGCAGAGTGGTACCTTGGCGTACCAGTTCCTATCCCATGGACTTCCTGTTAGGAAAACTAGACCTTGGGATATCTGTTTTACTTATCATTACTGAGACTTATATCAAAATCACCAGTGTTCTCTGCTAAGGGCTGTTTGCTTTTTGCTTCCCCTCTTTGCAGCTGAGAAGCCAGTAAAAGATGCACTTGCTCCCAACCTTTTTTTTCTGTGCTTGATTATCCCTAAATGCCACTGTGTTACATTTGTTCTTTAAGCTGAGGCTAGAAAATAAATCTTATGGGGGGGATGCTCTACTTTAATGTAGGACATGAAGCAAAATAGGGCTGGTTAATTATTTAATACCCTGTGGTTCTCCTTGGGCATGACGGAATCTATAGAATGAGGGAATATTGAGGTGTTGATAAGAAACTGGTGCAGTCTACCTGGGATAGGGATTTATTTTGTGTTTTGGAACCTGATGTACCCATCCAGTGTTTTCATGGGTGTCTGTTCCTGATCAAAAGACAAATCACCACTTAGAATGACGCTATTTCTGCTGGGGCTTTGGGTTTTTTTTCATTCTCCCTGGATTAACCATGATTTTTCCTTGTTCCGTTTTGATGGAAAGCCTTTAATGAAGTGTGATGATTTGAGGAAGTGCTGTCTCCCAACTTGTTGTAAGCCAGACCCTTGAGTAGAAGGAGCCTTTGTGTTTTTGTTACTCCTCCGTCACACTGACTGAACATGAAAGGCACACTTGGTGCAGAGTGAGCAGCTCTCCTGCCTTAGGATGTACATACTTTTTGATTTTCTTGCTTGCTTTGCTTTGCTTTGCTTTGAGCCCTTGCTGTCTCATGTTACCTCTTTCATTATCTTTTTCCTTTTTCATTTAGCTCAGTATACCCAGGATGATGGAATTAATTTCGAGTCCCATAGTGTTCCTCTTACCAACACTAATATGTCTCTGGAAGATCAGAGAAATAAGTTTTTCATTCCACGTCCATCATAAGTTTATTGAGAAACTGTTGATCTTCTGTCCTAATGTTTTCTTCTATTACTTTACTGAAGATCTTTGAGGGTTATGATCTTACAAAAGTCAAATCAATTCTCAAACAAAAAGTTTTACCTTAAAGGCAGTTTATTGCCTGGAATTCCAAGCTTGAATTTATTTCAGGTTTCATATTTTGGGACTGTGAAAATGGAGGGGGAATGTGCTGAGGTGGAACCGGGTGCCTGGGCAGGTTGACATCTGCTGCACCTCTTAGACTTGATCCTACAGCCATTGCTCCTCTGAGAACTTCAACAGTGAAAAACATTTGACGACTTGTGAAGGAACAAAGTATACTCTATGGTTTGGTGAGCCCAATCTTTGAAAGGTTTCTTCTTAGGAGCAAGAGAGGGTTTATCCAGCAGTTGATGCCTAGGTGAAATTTTGAGACCTTCCTCTGCAGTCAAGAGATGGTTAAAACTGCACTTTATATCCATCCTTCTGCCTTGTTATTAACCCTCTTGGTGCTGTGTGCTCCACTTCTTGTCTCCAACAGAGTCTCTTGAGTTTTCCCCGCAGTAACAGATTATTATTTTAAACTGTGTTGATGTTCTCATGCTTGCTACCTATTTTTTATTTTATATTTTTATATCTGCAGTAAAATCCATGTGTCATGTCCTGGACTTAAGATTTTGTGGTCTAAAATTTGGATTAAATGAACACCCCATTATATCATTTGTAAATGTAAAGCTTTTTTTTTTTCCTGAGAACTTCTCCTTCCCTGCCCTGCCTGCACAAGTGAAAACAAAGTCTTTTTCAGTTCTGAGATGATTTAAAACTTCTTGGTTGGCCAAATAGCTACTTAAAACTTAATTGATTCCCATTTCAAGAATATGCGTGTGAAGTTTAGGCCTTTAGCTACTCAGTGAGAGCCAAGTTATAGACCAGGCTTGTCCAGTGTTTATATTGGAAACTTCCCTAAAGTTCACTGCACAAATCTGGCTAGGCACCCTTAGAATTGTTAAAATATTTTGTTGCCAGAATAACACAATTATTACATTTAGTATTACATCTAGTTTTACATCTAGAGAGAGAAAAATGCTTGGCTTTAGGGTGCTGTAGGCTTTATATAATGGTTTATTGTTCCAGGTGAGGACTGAGAATTTCTGGAATATTTTCCTCTTGCACTGTGAGATCCTGGGTAGGAAAAGCTGGTTTTATTAGAAATAATACACTGAGCTTTGCTAATTTGATAAAAGGGCACATATGCCTGTGAATGACTCCCTTTCTCATTTGTGTTTAAAACAATGCAGGTCCTAAAGCACAAAGATCCTCTCTAAGGAAGGAATTCTTTCCATTTCAGAGATGAAAGTTTCAAATTGACAGTGTGTGGTGAAAACTCACGTTGCCAGTTTTTATGTCCAAGACAAGACAGGACAGGCCAAGAACTGAAGTGTTTCAGGATCACATTTACAGTAGTAAATAATTAATTTTTTTAAAGTATGTTCATCTTATATTTGCTAGTAATTTCTCTTAAACTCCCTTTAATATATTTGGGTTTACTTTTTCTGCTAAGTTTAATGTATGAACTGAATATATTTTCTAGTTAGGATTTTAATTTTTGCTGATTATAAGATTATCTGCTTTTAAGAACTGTAAAGTTTTAAGGGGCTGTATAGTAGTTAAGCATTATTGGTTATATTTCTGTTCCACGATCACAGAATCCCAGACTGGTTTGGGTTGGGAGAGACTTTAAAGCCCATCTCATTCCACCCCCTGCCATGGGCAGGGACACCTTCCACTATCCCAGGTTGCTCCAAGCCCCGTGCAAACTAGCCTTATTTGTTGTAGAAACTCCACAGGATCTGTGACTGCAGTATGTCTGCCAGATAGCTTAACATTTTTGCTGTCAAATTGTTATATATTATATATATATATTTTGTATAATATATATATGTCCAGTGTGTGGCACCCAGCGCAGCTGAGCCTTCAGCCCATCGTAGGCTTCAGCCCAACGTGTTGGTAGATGTTTTGATTAGACTTAATAAGATGCAGTTAAATCAGTGTTATTGTGGCAGTTATCAGTCAGTTTTTGTAGATTAGTAGATTCATTCATTTATTGAAGAGGAAAAAATCCTTTAGGAGAAGCAGTTTTGCAAACAGAAGGTTCAGATGTGGGCACTGTGAGCATGGACAGGGTGGTGGCACTGGGGATGGCTCACTTGTGGTACCACCACTGGTATCACTTCTGCTTTCTTAAACCTCAGGAGTTAAGGCAAGACAAGTGCTCCCCGTTGTTTCCTGGGGGTGCGGAGCCGGGATCCCCGGAGGAGAAGGTAGGAGCTGCCGGGAGGTTGGGAACGGGAACCGCGGCTGTTTGTTTGTGCTGTTCTCAGGGAAACAGCCCTGTGCTTACATTCCTTGCAAGTTAATAGGGTCGCACCAGAGAGTACACCTGACTTGGATGACCCTTTTCTCCTCCCAGAGTAAACATTCCCTCCTAGCCCAAGTTTGGATCAGAGGGATCAGCTGTGTTGAGTACTGAACCTGGACTGGAGCAGGGTGAAGTGTTCCTGTTCCTTTCCCTGACAGTACTCTGAGCTGTGGGGAACAGGACCTGAGAACATCTACCAGACCTGAGTGTTGGGAGATACTGGAGGTTTAAGTTTACAGAAATGCCTGAGTTCAAAAGCCAGCTCAGTGAGTAGAAGGACCTCAGTCTAATGCAGATATTTACATCTGTTTAATTTAAGGAGTACACATTTGCCTAAGAGCTGGCAATGATGTGTTTTACTTCTGTAAATTGTCACAAACGGTGTTTATGTGAAAAATGCTTTCACTGAAACACTGCACAAACCCAGTTCCACAGGTGAGGGTCTGAGCCCTGCCAAGGGCCCAGGAAAGCACAGGAACAAGTACCTTCCTGGGAGAGCCCTTTGCACAAACCTGGCAGTGTTTGCAACTACCTGTGGAAAATGCTGTTGAAATCTTTACTGAAATGTGTTTGCTTAAATTAGGTTTTCATTTTAAATCTTCCTTATGTTCTCATCATTTTTGACATGAAACCTCATAATTATCCCCAAAGAAATGTTCAATACAGACTTTTCTTCCTCTCAAAGTTTCAGGCAGTAACTGGGAAATCATGTGGAATCATCTGATTCACAGATGACTTTCAAAACAGTGTTCAGAGCTGTTTGAAATAGTATTTCCTGCTACCTAATCATCATAAAAAACTACCAGTGTTACTCTTGTAAAATAATACAGGAAATGCGAAAGGCAAATATGTTCCTCTTCTAAGTAGGACAGAAATAACTTTTTTTGAATCTTCAGTGCCACAGTGCAGCTGAGCTGCACAAAACAGCACAGAAAGTGTCTTCTTAGTTTCTCATGACCGAGAATGAACCATCTAATTCTCTTTAGGGAAATGTCCACAGTCAAATCCCCTACCTGGCTTGAATCTTTGGCATATTTTGCTTTTCAGAAACCACATCTTTATCACACCTGATTAGAGGAGGTCTGGTAGCTGGAGAAGTGCTGCCATATTTTATTAATGTAGTATTTGACAGCTGTTAACTAGTGAAACCAGAGATAGGTGCTCGCTTGACTAAAAGGTGTGCACTTGATACCCGTCACAGAGAACCCAATTAACCTTTAGGCTCCATATATTGAATTACCAACCTGGCTGCTGGAAATTGGCTGCAAATAAACTTTCAGACAAAGCTGGTTTTGCTTGCTCAAATGGTCTTTTGCTATTGTGTGTGGAATTTATCAAACTAAATATATATATAAATATGTAAATATATATCTCCAGGTTACTCCTCATGGTTTGTCCTTGGGGGTAAAGAATGTTCATCTCTGCTTTCTCACCACTAAACTGACAATCATTTGTGAGTTTTGTGGGGCATGTACACCTTGGTTTTGTTGGGAATAGCTGTAGCAAGCTGGTACACACCTCTTACACTTGCTTTACCCATTCCTCCCACTCCTCTCTCCCCATTAAATAGTGGGAGCAAATAACACTCTTGGGATCGATTCTCCATTGAGCATCTGCACAGTAACTGATAGAGGATACTTTCCAGGGGGTATTCTGGGCACAATTATCTGCTGGGTGAAAGAATATCTATTATTAAAAGAGTGAAAATCTGTTGAAGTGAACTTGAGCAGTCACAGGAAACTAAAGCAACTGTTGGATTTTGGGCCAGCGTTGCCAACCTTCAGTAAACCGTGTGATGTGATGCTGCTGGTATTTCTTGTCTGTGTGGTATTTTAGCTATGCCAGTTGTACTTCAGAGAAACTGAGGGGGTTTTGCTATTTAATGAACTGTGATGTTATTTGTCTTTAGCAAAAGACAGTTGACAGGACGCCCTTTTGTGTTTATGTGACCTCACAGAGTGAAAAGTAAATTAATCAAATTCAGTAAGCCAGTTTTTTATGGGAGATAAAAACATTGCTGCAGTAGTATAACCAGCTCTTCTAGAAACAAATATTTGATAGTGTTTCTATGGTGAGATATTCTGTTTGTTGGGAAAGTTTTTGATTTTGTTTGAAATGCAGATGAATTTATACACTTGTTTGGTCTGGTGACTTGTTTACCTGATGCCACTTGTACTTTTCTCTTGCAGGAAATCCACGACTTGTTTAAAGATTATGAAATCAAGTATTGTTATGTGGACAGAAATAAAAGAACAGGTAAGAACTTAAAAACTTCCAATGATAGATGCTTAAATTCTGTGAGGAACATCATCTGCAGTGTATGAAGTCATCAGCTTTTCTCCTGTCAATCACTTGGGCTCTTTGTCCCTCAGGGCCTCTGTTGGTGGCTCAGTTTGTCACCTTTCACTGAAGGCTGTGGGAAGTTGGAAATTTAGTGATGTTGGCCAGAAGTGAGTTGATTCGCTATGGTTCTCCCTTAGTGAGTGTCTCTTTGGGACAAAACTAGCACCAGCTGTCTGAATTCCCTTGGAAAACTGAAGGCTTCTCTTAGGACAAACCATGTGTGCCTGAGGGGAAAACATACCCAGTTGCTTTTGCAATTTGCCCGTGTCAGAAAACACTTTTTCCCTGTGAGGGTCACCAGGTTGCCCAGAGAGGTGGTGGAGTCTCCATCCTTTGAGATAACAAGAACCCATCTGGACGTGGTCTTTTGGTGGGTGATCCTCTTTGAGGAAGGGGTTGGACAAGATGACCCTGCCAACCTCATCCAGTCTGTGATTGTGTGAAGTGTTTTATGGGCTGAAAACCCAAAAAGGATCTAATAACCTCAAAGTGAGAACTGGAGGATGTTGTCAGCTAAGATATTCAGTAGTATCTGTAATGTGCTGACTTCAGTAGAATATTTAGTAGTAAATAATAGCAAATAACAGTCTAATAGTAGAATAGTAAATAATAGACTAATAATAGAACATCTAATTTAGTTCCCCAAGTATAAAATTTTGTTTGGTTACATGTAGTGGTGTTTGTGTTTCTGTAGCCACTTTTTGAGTTAATTGCTCATGATGTTCAATTGATAATTCCAGCCTTTAGACAGATATGCTGTAATATATATTTATCTATTGCATCTTTGGGGTAAACCTCAAACTCTTATTCCTTTTGGGGCTTTCAGGGGGAGGGAGAGGTGTAGTAAGTGCCTCTAAAGCTATGGGAGGTATAACCTGTGTTGGTCTCTTGCAGCATTCGTTACTCTGTTGAACGGAGAGCAGGCTCAGAGCGCCATTCGGAAATTCCACCAGTATTCCCTGCGTGGAAAAGAGATATCTGTGCAGCTCCAACCCACGGATGCCTTGCTGTGCATCACTAATTTGCCCATTTCATTCACCTTGGAAGAGTTTGAAGAACTCGTGCGTGCCTATGGCAACGTGGAGAGATGTTTCTTGGTGTACAGTGAGGTCACTGGCCATTCCAAGGGCTATGGCTTTGTGGAATACATGAAGAAGGACTCTGCTGCAAAGGCCAGGCTGGAACTTCTGGGGAAGCAGTTAGAGGAGAGCACTCTGTTTGCACAGTGGATGGATGTGAACCAGCTGACCACAAACCTTATTCACTCCAAGTGCCTTTGTGTAGATAAATTACAAAAAGACTGTGCTGACTCAAAAGAACTGATTCAGGCTTTCTCCCTGAAGTACAAACCTGTGTTCTGCCAGGTGGGTTGGGTTTCTATCTTATGCAAAATCAAGGTTTCACTCTTGCTGTCTTTGGCTTTTGTTTTTCATAGAACTAGTGAATAGTTGTGCATCTGCAATGTGAGATGTGATACAAATGCTTTACTGGTATGGGTTTGCAGTGATGCATATTTGGAAATTCTGCAGGATACCACTCCCATGAAGTGCCAGTAAAATGTTAGTAAGACATTCCCTCCTCATGTAATTTATTGAAAATAATTTTATTTTTGAGAGCTTTAAAAGTGATGGTTTTATTGCTTTTTAAAGCCAGAGTGTATGAAATAGTTTACCTGATGAAATATATATATGTATATATGGATTTAATGACTATATTAAGAAACGTCCGCAGATATTTAACCTGTGTTTTCCCTAACTGAGGAGGATACGGACTTGGCACCTCATAGTGCTGGGCTTGCCAGGTGTGGAAGTGGTACATCTGTAGGAAAGTTTGCAGGTACAGGAGAGGTAGATCCTTACAGGCCTTTGTAGTGTAAATACTTCCTTCTTATCCTCATGGCTTGCGAGATACGAGACCACAAATAAATGTTGTGGTGCTGACAGAGTACCAGAAACAGGCAGTGGAAAGAAAGCTTTCCTTGTAGTCACACAGTTGTGATTTCCATTACTGGGTTGCTTTTGTTGTTTTTTTTTTTCCTTAAGTCTCTTGGAAGGCTGCTCAGGGATTGGGAGGCTGCTCAGGAATTAAGGGATAAGAACCCAGAGATTCCCAGTCTGAGAACAGAAGGACCATCAGGCTGTCTGGCCTGACCACCTGCAGGCCACCACATCCTCCTTAGTGCTCTTTTCGAGCCCCAGTAATTTGTAGTTGGCCAGAGTAAATATCCTTAGACTTGCTCGATCCAAATATACCAGGAGATCAATAAATTGAAGGTAACTCTTTCCAGAAACTGCCCATCCTGTGCTATTTTGAACTCATGTCTCTTTTCTCAGTTGGATGTATCTGGCTTCAGCTTCGCCTCACTGATAACTAAATTGAGGAGCTTTTACTCCCTATTATTTTCTTCCTGTAAGAAGGTATTAAATGCTGCAATCAAGTCTCTTGCTCAATCTTTGTTTAATTAGCTAAACAGATTGATCTCTTTAAGTCTTTTACTTCAGGGCTTTTTTTCCAGCTGTCAGATAATCTGTTATCAGCTCCTCCAACAAATTTCAAACATCCTTTTAAAAATTCTGAATTTCAAAGAATACCAGGCTTCTCTGATAAAGGTGGGTTTCCCTAACAGGATTCTGCTGTGCAGTTAGAGGCACTTAAAAATTGATTTTTACCTCCATAGTAATACTTGGGTCACACCTGCAGTAGGTAAGAAGAGTCAGTTTGTGTCTGCATCAATAAATGGCAGTAAATACATATTTGTATAAAATCAGGAGGGAGGAGATAGGTAAACAATAGTTCAAATTTGATAGATGCAAAAGGGAAGAGGGTGGATGAATTCTCATCACCGGTGCTAATTAATTATGAGTGAGGTGACCCAGAAATTAAGGACAAAGAAAAGAGGAGGAGGAAGACTCAAGAAAGTGTGAAAAAAGCAAGGAGGGGGATGTAACATGAAGGGTAGAGATATAAGGGGAAAATTAGGAGAGGACAGAGCAGCAGAAACCTTGGGGGGGAGGGAATTTCAATAGAAAATGACTGGGAGAAGTGTTTTTGTCTGGAAAACTCCTTAGCATACCTCTTGTGCTGCTTTCATGGCTTAGTTCTGCTCGTAACTCTGATCAGTATTTCATCATGTAAATACAATCTTTTGCCTGAGATATTTAGCTGACCTCACAAAATAAACTCTGGTTTATTTAATTTTATTTAATCTTATTCATTTTATTTCATAAACTCTGGTTTATTTCATCTTATTCCACAGTTACCATTTATTTCTAAATCAGTTTGATTTTTCCTCTATTGACAATAGAAATATTCAGTCAGGAAGAGCTGAAGCCAGACACTTACACGTGGATATTAGGGAAAATGGCTTTTCCTGAGACTTACAGGAAAGTGTTTTGTCCTTTGCTTCAACAAAATGGACCAGAAAACCTTTCAAGAAGGTCTCCACTGTTATCTGATAGGGGCAGAGGGTTTTTTCTTCAGTCCTGTTTGCTTGGGAAGTTTAAAAATTCCTGAATTCTTTGCAAGAATATTGGTAGCTGCAGTTCCACATGTTAAGGGAGTTATTAACTGTGTTTCAGTTTCACTGAAAGTAAAATATGTATGTTCCGTAGCTGCAAACCTGTCTTTTCACAAGTACCTCAGGTCTTTACCAGTGCACCTAAACTGATATTGAAGTAAAATACAAATATAAAATATAGACACACACACATATATTTAGCATAAACACATCTATGTGTGTATTTATGTATCAATATGTGTATTCTCCAGAGCTCTGGCTTTAACAGTGCCAATAAACATCTGACCACCCCCTTTTTCTTCAAAAGCTTTGAAATTTAATTTTCAGCTCTTAGTGTAAGTTTGTAGGGCTTCACAACTGGGAACAGGTTGTTTTCATCCAATGAAATCTAGAGATTTCCTCTCTTCCCCATCAGAGCTGGTGTCAGGGTATCATTTCTATTTATTTTGGGACTGGAGATTTTGGCCTAAGCTTCATCCCTCCCTTGTCACCCTCTTTTTTTGTTGAATTTAAATCTGCTCATTCTGCTATAAAACTCTACAAACAAAGGCCAGAGCACTGTGTGACACGTAAGCCTGTTTCCAGTCTGCTTGATTGATCAGTCTGGCATCTTCTCTTGGCAGTAGACACAACCACAGACTTCATATTCTCCTAAAAGGCACCAGATACTGGTGGAATTTGCATTGTCACATGTTTCAGCAGCTGCCCCGGAGCTTGATGAATGACATTTTGATTATTGCAGGCTTCAAAACTGAAGAATAATGAGTTTATAATTCTTACCCTGCAGAATAAAAATTGGTGCAGCATCCAGCTGTATTTACAGTTTGCTTCTGATTCCTCCTTTGTTCTCTATATATGTGTTAAATACATTCTGTAGCTGAGGTTCTCCATGAGACCACAGAATCAGCTAGGTTGGAAAAGACCCCTGAGATCATCAAGTCCAACCTTTGACATGGCACCACCTTGTCAACTAGACCATGGCACCAAGTGCCACATCCAGTCTCTTCTTAAACACTTCCAGGGACAGTGACTCCACCACCTCCCTGGGCAGGCCCTTCCAACGTCTGATCACTCTCTCTGTAGAGAATTTCTTGCTAATGTCTAACCTAAATCTCCCCTGGCACAGGTTAAGACTGTACCATTTAGATTGGAGCGGAGGTGGGAGTTGAAGTAGATAAGTATGAATGCCAAATGTCCTATGAAAACATGGAATTCAACTTACAAGAAACACTTTTGAGACAGGAACGTCCTGGTTTGGGTGGGCATTGATCTCGGTATCAGCTGGGAAAGGTTTTGGAAGAGGTAAGTGGAAATGCTGCAGGGCAGTCCCTGGAATTGGCCCTTTTGCTCTGTTGTTGCAGTTTGCCCAGGATGAGGACGGTGGCACCGGGGACTTCGCCGTGGTCGAGTACGAGAGCGCGGAGCAGGCGGAGAAGGTCCGGGAGCTCACGGATGGAATGACCCTCAAAGGGAGAAGAGTCCAGGTGTCCTACTGTGCCCCTGGAGCGCCAGGAAGGAGCACCTTGGCAGCACTTATAGCAGCCCAGAGGATGGTGAGATACCTGCACACCTCTCCTCAGGATGGGTTGGACACTGGATTTGGGACACAGGGATTCAGCTTCTTTGCTTTAGGAAAGGGAGCCAAGCTTTCGGAAGCGTCAGCATTTTGAGTTGCTTGGAGCAACCTGGTCTAGTGGAAGGTGTCCCTGCCCATGGCAAAGGAGTAAAATGAGATGATCTTTAAGGTCTCTCCCAACCCAAAGCATTCCCTGATTCCATAATTCTGTATAGTCAGTCCAGTTCAGGCTCTTTCCAGGGCAAAGCATGGACACATAGTGCCAGGAAGAAGGACAAAATATGGCCATAAGATATCACAAAGTTACACCTACGTATCTCTGGGATTTTAGTAAATTTAATTTTCTGTGAGAGGAATCATTCCGGTTCAAAACAAAACTAACTGGAAGTGCAGTTGTTTGACAAGCTAAAACTTGGTTTAAAACAGAGAGGAAGAATTTGTCAGTTTTAAGATAAATTTCAAGGTAGGAGAAGAAATAGTTTAATTTCGTGCTCAGTATAAAAGAAAGCTTTTTGCATCCACGTCTTAGCAAATTATTTCCTAGAGAATTGGCTGTGATAAGTGTTACATGGAGGTGTCTTAAATGCAGAGACACAGTTTCATCACTTAGCCAAGTCTAAACCACGTCTTTATAAGGAGATGAGTAGTCTGCTATAAGTGAGTATATGATATTCATGCCAACAGTGCCTCTCTTACTCTCCTTTGTTGATAACTCCATTTCGGTTTAAGGAAAAAAAAAATGTATCTCAGGAGAAATAATATGCTTGAAGTTCTCTTGAAATAGTTTGTTAGGTGTTTCATTGGAAGGAAAAAGAGCAGGAAATAGGGAAGGAAATGTTTTTTTTCTGTGTCAAATGAAATGTGTACACTGACATCACAAAAGTTTGAGGGATTTACATATATTCTTTGTTTTCTCCTGCTTCTGACATTTTTGTATCTCTCTTCATTGGAGATGAGGAACAATAGGAAAGGCTTGCTCCCAGAGCCAAATCCAGTGCAGATCATGAAGAGTTTTAATAATCCAGCAATGTTGCAGATGCTGCTGCAGCCCCAATTGCGTGGCCACGCTGTTAAACCTGGTGAGTTGTTTTAAAACAGAATTCAAAAAAGAACCCCTGTTCTTAGTGGTACAAGGCTTTCAACAGAGAAGTAGAAATTCTGTTTAAAACCTGTGCAGACTGTTTCAGTGTGTTTGAATAGACAGTTTCACATTTTTGAAAGCAAAAGCAAGAGGTGGTTTGCTACGCTCTTGTGTTTGGGTAGAATTTAGTGTTACCTACAGATGTCTTTGTATTAAATCTGTGACCTCTGAATGTTTATAGCAGAAATGGGTTTAGAAAGGAATATCCTCTGCAAGACTTTGGTGAGTTGAAATCTGATTCTAGATTGAATTTTGCAGCCCGAGTCTTTCTGCTGTTATTCCCAACGTAAATCTTTATTCACCTGGATGGTGCCATAGCTGTGCAGAGCATTTCATAACAGCATTAGCCAAAAACATTTCTGTCTTCTCATTAGAGGGGTGTGAATAAACATATAAACCCCAATATAATTGCATTTCAAATGGTGAAAATATTAGAAACAGGACCAGGTAATTAAAAGAGTCAAGTGGGGGTCAGCTAAGAGTATGTGACACAATCTACTGACAGAAGATACCCAGAAAGGGTGTGTGAAGTGACCACTTCAGTGAAGGAACACTTCAGCTAATGTTGAATTTCAGAGCACTTCAGATAATGCTGTGGCCCTGCAATGAGCTCAGGCCTTGCTGCATCTTCCAGGGAAACTCAACTCTGGAGGAGCACCTGGAGAGCACCTTTGAGCTCTCAAATGCTGGGAATTGCAGATCAAAGCTGGGGGTATTGAAAAGTTTCATAACCCTTTCCAGCCTAAAAGAGTCTGTGATTCTATTATAGTGACCTTTGGTACACAGGAAAATTTCACGGAAACCAAATTTAAAATTACAGAATAACTCTTACAAAGATTTTTCTTGCCTGACTTGTAAAATACTGCAATTTTTTTGTGTGTTTGTGAAACAGTTCTTGGAGCATCTGCAGCTTTACCTCACCTTATAAATTCGGCAGTTGGCCCCCCTTTTTTGCAGCTGAACAAAGTTCATCAGGTATGTGACAAAAGAACTTTCATCCAAATAGGTATTTGGGAAGATCTCAGCATGAAAAATCCTCTGCAAGTTGTAAGAACTTACACCTAAACTCAGGTGTTGTCATCAAAGCTGTAAGGAAAGCTCTGTGTTTTGAGATGGGCGTGTAAGAGCAGGCTGTGCTTACTATCCACAAGTGAGTTATTTAGTCCTAACTGAGCTTCTGATTTATTAACACCTGCAAAGGAAGAGAAAATTTGTCATTAGTGACAAAAACTCCTCTTTAAATTTGATCTCGAGGAGCTTGGCACATCCCTTTCTTTTGCAACTGCTCATACATCCTTCCTGTAGAGACTTGATTATTTTATCTTATTCAAACCAACGAGTTTATCTTCATTTTAAAGCTTGCAGGGACCAAAATGTGCTACATATGCCATAAAAATAGTGAATTGCAGATGTTGCTTCTTAGTCATAACCCTCCCTAATGTTATAAGCTGTTTAAAGTGTTCTCAGAGTGCCTGGAATTCCAGATGGACACCAGAATTTCTGAAAGATGCTGTGAAGGGTATTTGGGATGAGTTTGCCCTGGAAATTGGAGATGGGAATATGCACCCACACCAGAACTCCTCCTTGCTGGGTGCACTTGGCCTTGAGCTGAGGTTCTGTCAGGGATTTCTCCAGCTCTGCCAGAAGCCAAAATTCAAATTTAATATTCATGGCAGGGATTTTCATAAATGTCTACAAGGGGTTGGAGTTCAATTGCTTTGACTTACTATTTCTGATGTTTCAGAAGTTCACATTTAAAAACTAGAATCCCCTCAAACATTAGTTATTTGTGCTGTTTTTTTGGCAAACACAGACTTACAGATCTTAAAAAGACCAAACTAAAATGCAGAGATATTCCTTATATTAAGTATATTTAGCCTTTCTATTTTTTCTACTAAAAGCTGGTAGGTGAGTATATTACTTCTGAATAAATGCTACTTAATTTTGCTCCATCAGCTGAACTGCTTTTGTGCATATTAAAAATACATAATTCTTTTGGGTTTTTTTTTTATTAAAATGACATTTTCAGTTGGTGTGTTTAGTTACTGCTGCTCTGTCTTCAGCCTTGGAGAGTCTGTGCTTCCTTGGAAGGCAATGTGAGTGTTTGCTGCTCACAGCTGGAGACAGGCCTGTTTTACACAGTTAACAGTGGGATTGATGATGATCCAGTGGTTTTTGGCTCTGCAGTTGTGCAGCCAAACAACTCAGTATTTTCTCTGTACAGGGACTTACAAGTCTAATTCTCATCCCGGGAGCTTCCTGTCATTTAATCAGCTCCAAACCTGCTCTGGTAGCCTGAGTTTTATTGTCAGTGGTTTGATTATCCCAGTTTCTTCTATTAGACACATTTTTCTCGTTTTAGGTGGACTTATTTTGGACTATTCTCTAAAGCCAGAGAACCAAGTCACTGTTTTTATTGTCTTTAAATGTTGTCACAAACTAGAGACAGGCACCTTTCCAGTCACACTGATTCAGCTTCCTGCATGTCTTGGGTTTGTATTTTGTATTCAAGGTTTTGTAAAGAAGAAACAGTAATTTAGGATGATTATGCCAAAACATTTAAAAAATAATTAATAAAAATGATTCAGCAGAGGGGATTTGAAGGTTATTCATCCAGTAATCTTTTGACTCAAGGTAGCCTTTCAACTTATTTAATTTGTCTTAGTTATAAATTATCATGTGCCAAAATAATACATTTTAAGCTCTCTCAATGGTGTTTTCCTCAGTCATCTAGCAGTTTTTAAATCTTTGTTAACCCAGAGACTTTCCTTTGAGGATTCTGACCAAACTGATTTTTCCACTCTTGTGTTTCTCAAAGTTTTACAATCGGACTGATACATTTTCTTTGTTATGTAGCCAAGTTTAGAAGGAACAGTCACTGGCATTGGAGACAATAAGCAACCCTGGATAATTCCTACTGGAATTCACTAAGACAATTAAAATAGCAGCTGCATAACTAATCTAGATATGGCACATCTTTTTTTTAAAAGGCACATTTCTGAGTCCAGACGACCATATTAAGGGTTTTTCCCAAGGGATTTAACCCTTCCATACAGAGACACAACCTAGGATTGAAAATACTGGTGAGGTGTTACGCAGGAGCTGCCTTCTTCTGGGGTTCCACCTTCATTCCCTGGTTTTGGTGATCTTTCCTATGTAGGAGACTTGATAAAAAATGAGGGAAGCTGTGCTTGTCCTGGTTTGACACAGTCAGTGTCCCATAAATCTATTTTTGCACCACTGTACAAAAAGGTTTGTAGAACAACCTATATTTTACCTGGCAAATCATACTCAGGAGCTGCTACCAGAAGGACAATTTCAATAAAAAGCATACATCATTTTGTCTTTTCAGGTTTATTTTAAGCCACTGTGCTGGGCAGGGCACATAATGCTGAATATATATCAGTAGCAGAGTCTAAACGTGATGCCACAAAATTATTAATTAAGTGGGTCAGTTCTGGTGAGAAACTGACCCAGAATATTTTGAATTAAAAATATTGCTATTTTATGGAGTTGCCAGTCTGTAAGCACTGTGATTTGTAAGCTTTCTAATAGCTTTGGAGCAGGATTTCATGTAGAGAGTTGCCAGTAAAAAAGGGAGGGGGAGAAAGGTATCTGGATATTCCTCTTTGGAGGTAAAGATACTGTGAAGCAGGGGGTGAAAGTCACTCCCAGTCCCAGCAGAGGTCTGTGAAGGTGGAGGTTGTGGATTAGAATTGCAGTGCAGGGCACAAAGCAAATGTTACAGACAATGAAGCCCTTTTTCACAGAGCTCAGAACTCCCTGAGCTCCTCCAGGCTCATCTTACTGGCACTGGAGGTAACTCCAGTCCATCCAGTCAGGCTGTGGGGGCTTCAGACACACTGAGCCCTCCCTGTTGGCTTTCCCAGGGGCTGCAGTGGGGTCTGGGCTGTGTTTGGAAATACTTTGAGCCTTTAGAAGCCATCCAGTGGTTGTGAGGTGAAAAAAAAGACTGGGTGGTCGAGAGCTTAAACCAACTTGAAATAACTTTCTATGAGTGAAGCAAAACTAGTTGTGTGGAGGGAATTGTTATTTTCCTTTGCTGAATTAACTCAAAACTTAAATTCCTTCAAGTAGTAACATCTGAAAATGTTTCAAGAGTGTTCTGTTCTCCATGACTGTCATCTAACACTTGTTTTAATCATTTCTCAGAGCTCAATTCTGGGGAGCACATCCAACCTGCTGCTGCAGAGCCCTGCCCACCTGCCACTGCCCCAGCAGCAGCTCCTGAAGATGGAAAACATCCAGGCTAACAGTGTAAGGTCATCACTGGAACTTTGACTCTTGGGACAGTCTTAAAACTGCTGAAACAAATAATTTTTTCATCGAGTGTCCCTGCCTATGAGAGGAGGTTGGAACTCGATTATCCTTAAGGTCCCTTCCAACCCAACTCCTTCTTTGTGTCTATGATCCAATATAATTGAACAGTTTAGTGTAGCTGAAAAGATTAACTGAATGTGAAAGTTATAAGAAATAGCTGTGGACAGATTATTTTATCATTTACATAGTTTTTTATTCTTCCTTATAGAAACCAGGTTTGCTGGGAGAACCTCCAACAATGCTCCTCCAGACAGTGCTGGGAATAGGGATGATGCCAGCAGTGAGCTCAGGAATGGGAACCCGAGGAGAAGCTCTGAAGTGTAAATGGCATTTTGTTTCGTACCAAATCAGTAGAAATGCTCAGCTTGAAATGATGCATCTGACTGGCTCCCTCTGTACCAAAAGCAACGGAGTTTTAACATTCAGTCTGTGACAGATGTCAGTTTTAAATGCAAATTTCTGTGCCAGTGATGCCCTTTATTTTCATGAGGAAAGCCCAGTTGTGATACTGAGGGTGTTCAGACTGGAGAAGAGGAAGCTTCAGGGAGACTTAGAGCCCCTTCCAGTGCCTAAAGGGGCTCCAAGAGAGCTGGAGAGGGATGTTTGGCAAGGGTCTGGAGAGACAGGACAAGGGGGAATGACTTCCCACTGTCAGAGGGTGGGGTTAGATGGGATGATGGGAAGAAATTCTTCCCTGTGAGGGTGGTGAGGCCCAGCACAGGTTGCCCAGAGAAGCTGTGGCTGCTCCACCCCTGAAAGTGTCCAAGGCCAGGTTGGACGGGGCTTGGAGCAAGCTGGGATAGTGGAAGGTGTCCCTGCTCATAGCAGGGGATGGAATGAGATGAGCTTTAATGTCTCTTCCAACTCAAACCATTCCAGGATGCCATGATCTCTTTTGTTTCCTCCACTGAGCCCTGTGTTGTGCAATCCTAGATGTGATCTGAGTAATGGTCATAACCAGGAGCAAGGAAAAGGTTGCAAGGTGGGGAGGAGGCCTCTTCTGAATATCTAGATTTTAATTTTGGAGAATACTTTCCAGCTCTTTAGTTAAAAGAATTTTTACTAGTGCCAACTGAAGTAGGGTTTCCCCCTCTATTCCAATAGAGGATCCTCTAGGATGTTGTTCCTAGTTTTTTTGAAAGTGAAAGGAAACACAAATTATCATAGTGAATGTTTAGAAAAGCTATTTATTTTATTAAATAGAGTTGTTTTCTTCTGGGATGGTAAAAGAATAAAAACTACCCTCACAATCCATGTCCCTCACAATCCATGGGACAGCTGGGAAATAGATCTGTAGCTGGTCTTCCCATCACTCGGTAAAACCCCCAAACAAAACGTGCTGATAAATCTCGTGTAACAGCAAAGTTTCTCCATTTATGGTTGGCTGCAGCATCTAATCTGCCTCCAATTCCAGCAGCAGCAGGGATGGGCATGCTGCCATTCTTCCCGAATCAGCACATTGTTGGACAAGCCATCCCAGGGCAAAATAATGCTCCAGACAAACCCTCTCCGGGCGAAGCCGTTGTGTCGGGATCACAGCCTTATCCTCAGACCTTGACAACCCTTCCTGCTGCAGCTCTGAGGGCTGGACACACCAAACAACAGAACCAGCTCAAAAGCACTGACACAACTCTGGGGGTAAGGAAGATTGAACACAAATATTTTCTTTCTTTCTTGCATATGGATTTTCTCTTTATTTTAAGAGTTAATGGCAACTTAGTGCAGTTCTTCACCAGATCACAGGATCATCCATGAGACATCTTAAGGTCATTTCAGTAATGAAGAATAGGGAGAGAACAATGATGCTCTTTGGTGGTCCAAGTGACTTAACAAAGGAATCTTCACAGTGCTGGAGGGTTTTTTTTTCCATGGGTTTGCCTCATAGTATTTGATGATGAAATTTATCTCGAGGGCAGTGTCTCTTTTAAAGGCTGAAAACTGAACTTGTGGTTGAATTTCGTGGCTAATCAGGAGCAATTCTAGTGTGTGTGTTTGCATACATATAGAGAAATATAGATATATTTGTGCGTGTATGTAAATTTTCCACTTCTAATCCTTTCCTCCTTAGCCCCAGCTGACATATTTGTAGTCTGTATTAGTTTTTTTATATATTATTTATTCCCTGGGAGAACGATGGGATGGGATTCAAGTTGAACCAGAATGGTCTGGTTATTTCAGAAGTTTTTTTTCTGCCATTTACAGAATTTACTTTTTTATAATATACATAAATACTTTGACATTTATGGGGAAATATATCCAGTGTCGGTATCTGTTAGGCAGCTTTGACAGGTTTGTTCCTATTTCAGAAAATACACTTTTCATTTTTGAAATCATTTTTTACTGTAAAGAAGTGGAATTTTACATAGGTATAGATACAAAATATAGGGTTTATGAGTATACATATAGAAAATCAGTGTCTTATTTCAGCATTTCATTTGGTTCAAAGGAAATGTGAGCCAGTCCTGACACTTCATTTCCACTCATAAACATTTTCCCCTTTTAAGTCCAGGCTTACAAATGGACTGATCAGTGGGATGTGTTGTAATGGCAGATTTCAGACAACATCATCTCTCCAGGGCTCATTTGTCCTTTATTTCCCTGTGTCTCCAAGTGAAAAGAGTTGATTTTGTCTTGGCTGTCTTCAATGCTCACTCCCAGCATCTGGAGTTGTTATGATGATTATTATTCTCTTACTTGCATATAAAAGGTTTTCTGTTGTTTGTTTGTTTTGTAATGTCCTTTAAGAACTTGCAGTCTGAAGAGAAACATTCCTACAAAATAATTTGGAAGCAAAAAACATAGGCAATGTGTCCAGATCGTTGTCCCCAGGATTTATTTTAAAAGTTTTATTTCATAGGGCTAAGTTGTTTTTTTCCAAACCCTTTTGGGACATTTACCTTATTTCTGACAAATTTGATAAAAATATAATGCAAACTGCCCTGTCCACTTGTTTCACAGACTCCCTTGAAAAAACAGACTTCACTGCTTGGGGAACCACCAAAAGAAATTCGTCTGAGCACCAACCCCTACTTGAATTTGGCAAGTGTGTTGCCTGGGATGTGCCTGCCAGGTAAGCAAATGTTTCATGGCTTTAATTGCAAGTTTCCACAACCAGAGTGTGGCAAATGTTTACTCTGTTTGGCTGGTAAATCCAGTGACCACAAAATTTGTCCTCAAGGGAATCTTGCAGTCTGTATTAAAATTTCAGTATCCTGATAGTTAATATTTCGTTTGGGAAGGGTAAATTCTCAGAGGTAATGGGCTTCCTGGTGCAGACAAACTTGTAGAAGCCTTTCACTTCATAGTAGCACTGATTAGTTTGGAGTACAGCCTAATGTGAAGAGGCAAATTTCTGGCTTAATCCCAGAATACAACCTAATTTGTGTGTTTTATACAGCCCGTGTGTTTGTACAAACTGTGTGTTCTTTGTGTTCCCAGCAGCAATTGCCAGCAAAGCCTCCAATCCACAGCAGCAGACTGGCCTTCCAAACAATGTGGTGGATGCTGCTGTGTCTCAGGGAACTGCATCACAACATGCAATGGAGAACTATTTCAGTTACTCTCAGCAGCCTGGGGAGTACACACAGGTACGTGTTTTGCAGCCTGGTTTGTCCCTTGGAGCTCAGCCAGCAGGAATTCTGGCAGACATCCCTGAGATCCCTCCCAGAGCTGCTCATTGTTTTCTCTGTGTGCTCCTGATGCACTTCTTGGCACACGTGTGGCCTGACAGCCCTGAGTGCAACTGGACAGCTCTGCCCAGCATCATGAAACCACTCCTGGGCTCCCTGCACCCAAACCCACCCTCCTCTCGAGACTGAACCTCTTCACTGGCACTTCATCTCTGTCAGTGTTCGGGATAGATTTAGCACAAAGTACATTCCCTGATGAAATCATAACCCTTGGAAAATTGCTTCTTGAGAGCCTGGGCTCAGGGCAGTCACTACAAAAATGACTTCTTATGACTTCTACCTTGGCTTTTGTCTGTCTTCAAAACTCTGAAGTTTTTCTCTTTCCCTTCCTGAGAAGCTTTTAAATCTTTTTGAGCTTTGGCTGGATCCCAGAGAGGAGTGTTCTGCCTTCCAGCAGTTCCTGCACAGCCTGGGGAATTTTTGCAGTCTCTCCAGCTGGTTTCACTGCTTGGGGTGTCTTCCCATGTGCCCCACGTGGTGATCAGAGCATGGCCATAAGGGGGGGAGTCTGGGGAGTGTTGCAGGCTGAGAGCAAGTTCCACAGGCATTGGGACACTGATGACCAGACCCGCCTCCCGGATCAGATCTGGTGGCCTAAAGGGGCTCCAGGAGAGCTGGAAAGGGACAGGACAAGGGGGAATGGCTTCCCACTGCCAGAGGGCAGGGTTAGATGGGATATTGGGAAGAATTTCTTCCCTGTGAGTGTGGTGAGGCCCTGGCACAGGTTGCCCAGAGAAGCTGTGGCTGCCCCATCCCTGGAAGTGTCCAAGGCCAGGTTGGATGGGGCTTGGAGCAACCTGGGCTAGTGGAAGGTGTTCTCCCCGTCCCTCCAAGCAGGGGGCTTGGAACTGGATAGTCTCAAAGGTCTTTCCAACCCAAACCATTCTGTGATTCTATGATTCTGTGAACATTTTGTTTTAACCTGATTATGGGCTTTAAATTTATTCTGATGTCTCCTGGAGGTAGTTTCTAAGCCCAAATCTGTAAACTACTATCCAAAAAAAATCAGCAGTACCGTACTGTTAGTGTTACCAGTATTACCTTGACTACCATGAAGGACTCAAATAGTGTCACATTGCTGCAAAAATGCCACATGTCACCATCCAGCCCTATTGCGCTGTCTGCTCCTTCCATGTAACAGGAATTATTACACTGTACCTGCATTACTGCCAGGGCAGTGGTGCCTTGTGTGTCTTTTAAGGACTTAATCATAGTTTTAAATGTTTGATTTGAGCTTTATCACTTGTATTAAATGTGTTTTGATGCATCTTGGAGAGGTTTGAGGCTGTAAGAATTGTAGACAGCCACGGGAGAGGATTTTTCCTCCTTTATAGGAGGCTGTTCAGCAGTGGTATCATTATGCTCAGGCACATCACTCTACCCAGGCCAGAGTGGATGGGTTTGAAAATGAAGCCTCTGAGGTGAGAAATACCTTTATTTTCTTGCTGTTTCCACTGGCTGTTTCTCCCATGAGCTGTGAGGCTGCTTTAGACACTGCTTTGTGTGCTGGGAGTGGCTGCTGCCCTGGGGACCCCAGGAATGAGGGGCTGGAGAGCGTGGGATGAGGGGTGCTGCATGGTCACCTGCTGCAGGGCACTCCTGGGATTCATACTCAAATTATCCCCTCTAAAAGCCTACAATCCAGTTAGCTGTAAATTCAGGAATATAAAAATACTCCCACCAAGAAACAGCCCACTATAATGGTATTCCCAGTGTTGAATTTCTGAGTATTGGAGGACTGTTTCTTGCCCAAACTGAGGTTTCTGTGACCAAGGAGAAGGACACTCTTTTAAGGAATTATGTAAAGTAAACTATCCCCAAATCCCACATTTTGCTCAAGGAATCACTGCACACCCAAGCTGCTGTGAATGGCACCTCCTGTTAGTGAGACTCGGGTATTTTCATACCTGCTGAGTGCTCATCACTATTGCAAGTAAAAATGAACGATTAAACCTATTTTCTTTCCACTCCTGGTTGATCCTGGATCCCATTCTGCATTTAGGAATCTACAGGTGGATCTTACCCAGACTACAGTACCTGCTTGCAGGTTGTGCCTCCCCTTTTGAGTGGAGCCCAGGGATCCCAGCAGGCATCCCAGCTTCCTCCCCCAAATCTGTTCCCTAAGGTGAGAGGAGATGGAGCGGAACGGCTGCAGATGCTTCTTACTTGTCTTGTGCTGCCACCGAGTGGACTTCAGCCCACGGCAAGCCCAGGCAGAGCTTTCCCACTGCATTCCTGCTCCTGAGTTGCTCAGGATCACACACAGTTCCTGGTGGGTGTGATAAGGGGTTGGTCAGGATGTGCCAGTGTCAGACCCCCTTAGAGCCCCCAGGTGCAGGGGATCAGTGCATTTATGAGTGGTGGCTCTTTTTAGGGAAAGGGCACAAGCACTGACTCAGGAGCTGGACCTTAAAGCCGATGGAGTCAGGCCTTGGGAGTTGCTTCCCAGCTCTTGGTCCTTGGTAATTCCCAGCCTGGAGTGTTATTTATTGACACTGTTTGCTGTGGCTCATGTCACTTGTTTTCTTCTTGCCCTCAGGTGACTCCAGCCCGGAGTGAGAAGCGAAGCTCCTCGTACCTCATTTCCTCCCCGGAGCCCGGCCCTGTGGAATTCCCGGCTCCGGGATCCACAGTGCGTTACACAGAGTCCTCCCTCAAAAAAAAACGTGTGTATTGAGCCTGGAACCCTCCCTCCTGCCTGGAGGGGACAAGGCAGGCCTGGACCTCTGCTATTTATTGCTGCCTTAACTCCACACACATCATCCTGCTCCCTGGGTGGCTGTGGTGGCCCAGGAGGAGCCCCCTCTGTCACACCACATCCAAGGACACGGTACGTATGTGAGGGATGGCTGGTCCTTGGTGGTCTCACTTTCCCTTGGGACAAGAGGGGACAGTGTTGGCTTTGTCACCTGCCCCACAGAGCAGCTGAGGGCCAGAGCACAGTGACTTGGGAGCTGTGGCAGCTCCACCAGCTGAAAGCAATAAATCCCTGAGGAAGGAAAGCTGATCCTTTCTCCAGTCCTCAGGCTGAGGAACTTAAAAGAGGAACTCTTGATAGTAATTATTTTGTATTTTTTTAACTCAGAATGTGTGGGTTTTTTCCAACCTGACTTTTTCCAGGATTAAGAGTTCTGCATTTACAGCCTTGGCATTTTTAATATTTCCTCTCAGTCCTGGAATGGAGTGATACCAAATGTACTCCCAGAGCCTCGGTGATGTTCTCAATAAATGGCTGGTAAAAGGAAGATGTAATACTGTGCTGCCTTGGAATTTTCAGTGGCATTTGGATAGGTGACAGTTGGACAGTGGAGTAACCTTTATCTGCTTTTAGGCTGAGAATCCACAGCTTTTCCTGGGAGGCAGTGATTTCCAGTGTGTGGATGTACCCGTCTAACACAGGGGGTGTGGTGAAGCCCCTCCTCCTTCCACAGGTGTGTGGGACAGCTGAGCCAGGTGTGTCCCAGCTCTTCCAGGGCCACCCACAGCCATTGTTTCCCAGATTGAGTGTATTTTCCTTTTTCCCTTCTTTTTTTTTAAGACTTCTTATATTTTTAGCTTATTCATTAAGAATTGTTCTTTTCTGCTGTCAGTCTTTATAGTTAAAGATTAGCAATCCGTACTTTTGCAGTCAGTGTTGAGAGGTAAAGGAGGAGCCAGCCCTCATTCCAAGGAATCCTTGGAATCCTTTGCCTTGGAATCATGCAGCAAATCCATTTGGACTGAGTTCACCGAGGCCACAACCTTCCTTACTCTTCCTAGTTAATACTGAAGCCATTTTTCAATAGTGATTTTTTTTAAATAAAAAAAAAAAAGTTTTAAACTTTGCCTTCCAGGCTTTGGGATGTGATCAGGATCCGTATTTTCAAAGCTTAAAAACAAAAAATTCCAATCACAATCCCTCCTCCCTCAGCTGCTGGGCTCTGGAACTGGCCCACCCTTTGTGCACAAACAGAGAACAGGAGCCTTTCTGGGATTCTACCTGTATGTATTGATAAATTCACTTGTAATATTTTGTTCCAACTGTTTGTATATGCAACTTTCTCAACTTGTTACACTTTTCAATGAAAATAAATTGTTGATACATATTTAAAGTGGTTTTCTGTGGGAGAAAAACTGTCCTGGACTACTTCAGCCAGGTTAGGTAGGGAAAGGTTGATTTTAAACATGTTCTGACCACTATTCATGTGGAAGTTTTATTTGAAAAGCTCTTTCTCTTTTTAATTTATGATTAAAAAGGTAGGCACATGGAGAAAAAAAAAAGTTCTTTAATAATTTGTTTGTATAAAGAGTAACAAAGTGCTTACAGATTTAACTCAGCTTCCTACGTGACATACAGAAACAACAGGTAACACTGTAAAAATAAATCTGACCTCGCTGGAGCTCATAATTACAATTTGATATGTATATATTTATATATATATAAAGACATCTTCCTATTATTGCCAGAACCGAGTATCTCCTCAAAGCATTTTCAAACTGTGGTAGGAAAACATTATAGCCCAAATTTAGGGTCAGCAGAAGGTTCCAGTTAAACCACTGTTGGATGAAGCCTGAGGGGTCACAGCCAAGAGCTGCTCAGAGGGAAATGGTCCCATGGGCTCTCCTTGGGTACCTGCACATGGGTTTGGGCTGGGAGTCAAATGGTGGTTAAGGAATATGTGTCCCAGGTGTTCCCGGGGTGCTCAGGCCTCTCTTTTCCTTTAGACAGTGACCCCCAGGTTCTGCACATGGATTTGTTTCTTTCCATCCCCAAGTGTGTCATTAATCCCTTCCCTTCCTGTCCTTCACCCACAGCACGAGCTGAGGAGCAGCATCACGCAGCTTCAGTGGGCAAGGTGTGTAATGGGGAGGGGAGACAGGAAAAGCAAATCTGTTTATCCAAAAACTTCACTGAAATGCACAGCTGTACCCACCCCTCCACTCTGTCTTGGTTGGTATTTTTGAACACAACACTTTTTTTTTTAAATACATGTAAGAGCTCAGAACTGTGGCCTGGTGGGTTGAGCTGAGAATTTTAGCTTTGCATTTTTATGCCAGAGTTGGTTTTTTGTTACTAACATTTAAGTAAGTGCACATGAAGAATATTTGTCAGGCAGACTTTAAAACTGCCTCAAAACTCTGTAAAATTATTAAATGGCTGTATTGTGCCTTCTTATTTATATGCACTGGCTCAGGTTTGAGATGTGAGAGCTGGCACTGAGAACTGCAGTGGGTTTTGTCCCCACACTCAGTTCACACCATCACATCAATCAGGACAGTCCCAATTGTGGCACAACCATCATCAGATAAGGATAAAACTGCCCTGCAATAAAAGCAGCAAAGGAGCTGCAGCTCTTGTTCCTCCCAGACCTTTAAATTCATTTGATCCAACTAACATTCAAAGGAAAACTGTTGGCAAAAGAATCCTTTCCCCACATGGGCCCAGTCAGAGTACAAATTACAGTAGTTAAAAAAAATGAAGAGCCTTGGCCATACGTATTTTTGATGCACATTAAGTACTGACAGTATAAAAGAAATTAATTACATTTTACTCATAATTGTTTCAAATCCTTGGATCAAGTTGTGGAAGGTCGTGCGCTCATCGTGTTTGTATATCCAGCACTTCCTCATCAGCTGGTCCACCTGGAACAGGGACAGGGACATTTTTAAAGGAGAGGAACATCTCATTGGGTTTTCCAGTAAAGACAGAGGAGCAGATTCCCACTGCTATGAACAGAAACACCTTGGGTTTGTCAGGATCAGTAAGGACCCAAACCAGAGGGGTAAGTTGAGGTCTTAACAGCTTCACCTGCAGGAGTGCTACACACCCAGAAAGGCTGTACTGCAAAAATTAGAAGGATTCCAACTGAATTTTCACGGATACAGGTATTACAGCAAATCCTTAACCCCTCTGAAGGGACATCACCAACTTGGGAATGTTAATATCAAAAACCATCTTAAAATAATGCTTCCAAACCTTGGAAATGCCTTTTTCACAGCATAGCTGAAGGTTTTCCTACCAGAGTGGCCAGGCCTAGTTAACCATGGACCTCTAGTGTTAATTCAGTGTCCAAGGACATGGCTCTGGCTCCAGGCGCATCCGTATCCATCCCTTACCTCCTCTGGGCAGGTGGGTGGTCGTGGCAAACGCTTGTCGTCCTGCAGGACACGCACCAGCCGTGCCACCGTCATCTGGCCCTGCGTGGGGCCGATCATCTTCAGGAATTCCTGTGGGAAAAGTAAGAGTCAGCTGGGCATCCCTCAGCCAGCACGAAAAAAGAACCACAAGGGTTGTTTTCCTAAGATAAATCAGTCCAGTGGAAGGTGTCCCTACCCATGGAAGGGGGAATGATGAGCTTTAAGGTCCCTCCCAACCCAAGCCGGTCTGGGATTCTACAATTCCACCTTTTTTTTTCCAAAAATATTAAAATTATGGGATTTCAGCAGCCATTCTGTCACAAGCACTTACTGCCATGGGACTGGACTCAGAGTCACAGTAGGTGAGCAGTTCATAGAGTGTCACCCCAAAGGACCAGACATCTGAGGCAATGTAGAACTTGCTCTGCAGCAAACACTCCGGGGCATACCTGGGGATCCAAGGGACAGCATTATTAAAGCCAGCTCTGGAGGCACATTCCATGTTTGTAGAGTCCTTGTACCTTAGTTAATGTGGGATGCCAAGTAAATAGTAAAACATAGCAAATAAGGTACAATTGTTACAACTCACTGTGAAACTAAAGGAAATGAAAACCAAAACAGTGGGAAAATTAAGTGCAGGAAAAAATAAATGGCACAAGAGTACAGTCTACCAGGTGCCTTTTCCATGTTTTCATGGTGTATCTTTACTTGGGCCTGTTATAAAAACAGGAAGAACCTTGAGGATGCCCGAAGCCTGAGGGCACAGGAGCAGAGCAGGCTCTGCCCTGCGCAGCGTGGCTGCAGGAGGTGGGTTGTGGGGCAGTACCAGAACACGGGGCTGTCGCGGTCGTCCTTGACCGTGTAATATTCCTTGTCGGTCTCAATGGCCTTGGTGAGCCCGAAGTCCCCAATCTTCACCCTGTTCTCACTTTCCACAAGGACATTTCTCGCTGCCAGGTCACGGTGCACGTACTGACAGGAGCCCAAGTAGTCCATTCCCTGAGAAAAGAAAGAAAGCCTGTCATCCTTGGTCCTCCAGTATTTTAATCCCTGTTTTTCTGCACTTTGTGCTTCACATGGTCTGACCACGCTCTGCACTCACGTCTCTTCCTCCCTTTAGACCTGCACCTTGCTCCTTCCCTCTTGCCAACCCACACTCCAAGTGCTGCCCTCCCTCCTAATACTCCAAATTCTGCAGCAGAAACAACTTTTCAAAACAACTTTTAAGCAAGGGAACGTTCTAATTATTCCTCCTCTGATCTTTGTGCCAGTAGCACCCATAGCAGGGGAGAGACTGCTTTAGGATTCAGGTCCTTGGGGACAGAAAAGGAGAATGGGTTTGTTCCTGACCTCTTCCTCTCCACTCTATTAAACTGGATATTAAACTGATCCAGCAGCTCTGGTCCCAGCTCACCTTGCAGATCTGAACCGCGTATCTGAGCAGCTGCTTGAGATTGATTTTGTTCTTGTTCCGTGGGAGATACTCCTTTAGGCTCCCAGAGGGAAGAAATTCCATGATGAGCTTAATCCCGCTTCCTCCTAAAACCAGAGCATGTTTAGTTTGCACACATGTGACGCTTCTCAGGCCATGAATACCAACAGCTTTTGAACAAGCCTGCAGCACTGGTAGCTAAATCCCATTATCCATCACTCTACCAATCCAGGAGAACCCGTTCCTGGCAGGACATTTATAAAATGCTTTATTTTCAAAGGAAAACCCTTATGCTTTCAGTGTACGCTTTTAATATTCTACACAATTTACCATCTTCTGTGCAGATGCCCTTGTATTTGACGATGTTGTCATGATAGAGATTCCTCAGGATTTCTATTTCCTTCTTGAGGTCAGCAATGTGGTTCCCTCCACTCTCTGGCTTTAGGGATTTCACTGCCACTTGCTCCCCTGTGTTGTCACCTTCTGGGTCGTATCTGCAGAGTTCAACCTTGCCAAAGTGGCCCTAATTGGGAGAGAAAAGAGCATTATTGGGAACACTGTTCACTGACAGCAACACTAAAGCACTATTTTAGGTGTTTATGATCCACATCTCCTATGACACAGCACATGGCTGTGGGGACATACACATGCACACTGATCTGTGTTCTGTGTCTGACATTCCTCTTACCTCTCCCAAATCCCGGATTCTTTTCAAGAATCGTTTCTCAAAGAGAGTGGGATCGACCTCAGTAACGGGCTTCTTCTCTGACACAATATCAGGATCTAGGAGTGGAAAAACACGGTCAGAAAAAATCTGGACAGAAAAAAAAAATGGTTAGACAGATTCCTGCATGGACACCTCGGTCTCAACACCCCAAGGCATCCTTGCTCACTTCAGTCTACTGCTGTTACTGTGCCTATCCCACTATCACAATTTTCCTGCTTTCTGACAGGGAATTCCTCCATACCTACAGGCCAGTCTATCCCTTGCTGATCCTCCCTCACTTTGTGGGTTGGTTGCTGGGTCTGCTTCCAGATCAAGTTTTCTCTGGGTGTACTTCCCACCCTGTAGTAGTTACTCGGCTTCCCTGAGTATTTACTACATCTACATCTACAGACATGGTTAGTCCCTGTTGCAGGGACACAACACAGCTGTCAGCACAGCCAACAGGGAAGACAGAAGTCAGGTGTCCAGTTTAACCAAATAAATCAGCCTTGGGTTGGAATGAGATGATCCTTAAGGTCCCTCCCAACCCAAACCATTCCAGGATTCCATGATCCCTACCCCGATGCCTTACTTTGCTCCTCCAGTTTGTTGATGTCCCTCATGATGGCCCTGAAGAAGGGTCTCTGGTGGGGGTCATAGTTCATGCACTGTTTCATCAGGTCTGCCAGCTCCTTGCATGACGGCGTGGCCAGCACAAAGTGCCCCTCGTAGAACCTCTCCTTCTGTGGGCACAAACAGACACTCCTGAGTGAATTGTAGCCTCAAAACCTCAGGATTCTGAGCTGGGGGAATGCTTGGACTCAGGGATCTAAGAG